TTACCTGTGAATCGATTGGTGACCGATGAAGAAGGCGAGACTGGTGACCGATGAAGAAGGCGAGAATGGTGAACGAGAATGTGCGATTCCTACAACCGATCGATAGAACAAAGGTGTCGCTTGGAGAAATCGAGGGAGCCATATCTGGTACAACGATTAGAGAAAAAATAGGGAGGGCAAACCTGTCAAAATTTCACATCTGAATCGTATGGAGGGCGTGTGGGTGAAGGCGCGATTCAGATCTACATTTATCATTCAGACTTCGTAAAAAACCTATCCAAACAATAAAATGTCTGACCGAATCAGACCCTTACCTCTTAATGGTATCATTCAGAGGTAAACAAACAGCCCCTAAGAATCTTACTCGATAAGAACGAGACAAGAACCAAGAGTCTTACCCGGTAAGTGAGGGAGATGACTCTTACCACGATAAACACTTACCGGATAAATTGTTGCATATCATGTCGTTTTTGTGGTCCAACGGGTAAAGCTCCCCCAGTTAACCTTCTTAAACAAACCCTAAGATTTTTAATTTTAGCGGTAAAATAGGTCCTGAATTAACTTCACTTTCACAGAAATAGATTGAACGCAGAGCTGAGAGTTATCCATGTCCATATGATATGATTTACATGGGGAACAGCAACCCCATTTTAATGACAGCATTCAATGTAACATCACCTAACTTCACCTAAATTTACGCCCACCATTTATACTCGACCTGCAAAGCTCAGATGATAGCACTACCACAAACTCTCACAATCACAATCTCCTCTTCCCTCCTCTCTACGCAATTCCATATATACCCAAAAGTAATTAAAACCTGCAAATCTTTGTGTTCAACAATGGCGGACAAGCGAGAAAAGAGTACTACAGCAAGTTCTCAAATCATCACAGGATCATGTGAAGAAGGTGGTGAAGGAAGTTCCGGCATCCGCACGGTGGAGACGCTGCTGAGGCTGCTTCCGGTGGGGCTTTGTGTGGCCGCGTTAGTTGTCATGCTTAAAGATTCTGAAACTAATGAATACGGCTCTCTTTCATACTCCAACCTCACTGCTTTCAGGTTCTTAATTAATTCAACCCCCTTTTACCCAAATGGGTCGGTCGGATTTGTTAAACAGATTGATAATTTTGAAATCTTTAAAGGTTTTTGGTGCATGCTAATGGCATCTGTGCTGGTTATTCGCTACTGTCGGCTGCTTTCACTGCAATCCCTCGCCCTATAACCATGCCTCGAGCTTGGACCTTCTTCCTCCTTGATCAGGTAATATATATATATACATACATATATATATATATGTTATAGAATCATATATAAAATGCAGATGAACATAAGTATTGTTTAGGTTTTAACATACCTGATACTGGCCGCCGGTGCGGTGGCGACGGAGGTGGCGTTTCTAACATACAAAGGAGATGTGGCGGTGACTTGGAGCGAGGTGTGTGGAACTTACGGCGACTTCTGTAGAAAGGCGACGGCTTCCATCATCATCACCTTCGTGGTGGTGATCTGCTACGTTTTGCTGTCGCTAATCTCATCTTACAGGCTCTTCAGCAAGTATGATGCACCAGTTGGGTACAAAAATAAGGGGATAGAGATCGTTGATTTTGGAAATTAGGAGATCGATGAAAACCTGTTTCCTGTGAAGAACAAGAATATGTAATAAGATTATATATTAATTATGAACAGAGATTTTATATATGATGATGATGATGATGATGATGATGATGATAAATGTTGTTGTTCTTGGGTTTTCTTGATTGTAACTTGACCTTCCAATCTTACACCATAGAGTTCATAGTACTTAGTTGTATATTTTTCGTATATTTATTATAAAACATTTGACAAAAACACTTAAAAATTATTTTTATGTATTAAGTACTGTTTTATTGATGCATGTTATTTAAAGTTTAAAATTACAAGTAAATTGTGTGTAAGTACAACTTATTAAAGTTTTATGTATGAATTTGTATAACTAACTGAAGATAAACATAATTAAATAGAGGTTAAACATTTCATTTTAGATATAAAAAAGATATACTTAAGATAATGATTGAGTTCTAACAAAATACTTAAATTACTATCTTTATAAAAAATTATATTATTAAATCAAAAATAAAAAAATGAATTAATGAAATATAAAAAAAACCCCCGAAAAATTTTAAATAGTTAGTTTGGTATTAATATTGATATTTAATTTTTTATGATATATCTTTATATTTATATTTTATTCAAAAATAAAAACATAATTGTTTTCTCAAAACCACATAAAACTGTATTATGACATCGACTGAGACAAAAAAGACAAAACATTGAAATTGAGATGTATCTTATTGTATTTTACGATTATCTCCTCTAGTGTGTGTGCGTGTATATATATATTATTCTCGTGGTTTGCTTTTGTTAGGATTTTATTCCCCTTGGAAAAGTTTGATCAAATAAACTATAAATAAAGTGTAAAATAAAATATTATTCGTACAAGGAAGGAACAAGAAAATTAATATAATGGGCCAAAGATAATATAAAAATATATAGTTTTGATGTTGACAATATTTGATACAATAAAATTAAATTTATAGAACATTATCATTTTTAAACGTCATAATAGACTATTTTATAAGACATAATTTATAGGACCAAAATATAAAATGTCATATCTAAAAGAGTTGTAATAAGTTAGCGTCCTATAAACTTATTAGAACATGTGTATATATAAGACATTTTATTTTTTGTTCTTATAGATTAAGTCTTATAAAGCAGTCTATTAGTACTCTTAATTTTGTTCTATAAACTCGATTTTGTTGTAGTGATCCTTTACATAGATATGTGTTCTTTTGTTAAATGCTTAATTATCTGTAAATAGTAATTATTAAAATTTAAACAAATTACAATTTTATATTATTTATAACTCCATTTTGCATAATTTTTGTTAAAGTTAAATTATTCAATTAAATTAGTTAACTACGATTTAAATAATTAGATTTTTTAGACTTCTATTATTTGCCTAAGAAACCAAATACAAAATTACTAATTCATTGCAACAAAATCGAGTTTATAGGAAATCAAAAGTGTTTAAATATAATAATAGACTACTTTATAAGACTTCAGTTTATAACATCAAACTTTTGTGTCATATTTAAAGGTGGTGTAATAAGTTTATAGAACATTTTTGACATCTTAACATATGATTAGGACACTTTTGAAACATACTTTTTATAAGACACGTGTTTATAAGACATTTTTTCAAATAATGTTCTATAAAAGAGATAATAAGATATTTTATTTCGAAAGTGTCCTAAAAAGTTTTTTCAGGTACCCAAAAGCATGATATAAACTTACTGCAACGTCTTTAGATAGAGCACACAAGTGTATGGTCTTATATACTTAAGTTCTATAAAGTAGTCTAGTAAGACATTTTGGACATTTTATGAACTCGATTTTGTTGTAGTAGTGATCGTCTGATAGACGAATAACAAAGCGGGGCGAATTATATCTCTACTAATATCATGCTTCAATCCGTGGTAGAATGAAACAAGATCCAAATAAACAGGTAAGCCTGGAATAGCTAATGTTGCTTACCTTATTGAGTAACATTTTCATTCATCAAAATGGATTGTTAGTAAACATCTTTTACCAAGTGGTACCCTATAACACTACCTCAAAATGCCACTTAGGCATCAAAAGAAAAATGTTGCCTAAAAGGGGTTTATATGTTGCGTAAGGCTTAGGCAACAAATCCGTGTTGCCTAAACAGTGTTGCCTTCTCAATGTTGCATTAGAACCCAGGCAACATATGCAAACAGCATATGTTGCTTAAGCGGACTTCTTAGGCACCACATAAAAGGTTATGTTGCCTATGTAAACAACATATGTTGCATCATACAAACTCTAAGGCAACATTCGATTTATGGATGTGTTGCATAAGGTATCAACTTAGACAACATACTCTATTTGCATATGTTGTGTGAGGTATCAGCTTAGACAACATATTCTATCTATATATATTGCCTTAGATATCAGCTTAGACGACATACTCTATTTAGATATGTTGTCTTTTAACTGTAATTAAAATAATATAATATTTCTTTTAAGCAACATTTACATTGTTTAATTGTTGCCTAAGATTTTTGTGCATCATGATCCAGTTTTTTCTTGCACACTTTCTACAAAGGAATCTCATAAACAAGCAAACAGACATGTTTTTTATACAAACAACTCCCACAAACAAGCAAACAAACGTTTTTATACAAACAACTTTTATAACCAAACAAAATTAATAAGTTCAGTAATTGAAAGATAATTTTTTTCCTAAATAAGTCTAAAAGTAAACAACAAGTTCAATAACACAAAATAAAAAACTTAACTTAAAGCGTGAGATGTCGGGATTGTTGAGTTAGAGTTTGAATCACTAACACCCAACATAGTCATCAACAATTGTATCATCTTTCTTTGCTTTGCGGCTTTCTTTTTTGCCTTATTTTGTCCCTCTTTTAGCAAGCGAATCTCCTCGTCGCGCTCGCCAAGTTTTCGCCGCAAATCTTCCTCATCAACTGAAGATATCGGCTTAGAGAATCCCTTCTCGGGTCCTCTCATCCTCGCAGGTCGAACCGCCAAGCTACCCATACCTCTAACAACCGTTCCTACCGACGGACCAACAATTTGCTCAATGATTGATATTTCTTTTTTCGATTGGGCAACGAATTGGAGGCCCGACAGATTTTGGAGTGCCATCGGAAACGTTCTTAATCTTCTCAATCTCTTCCTCAACAAGTTTCTGTAAATACGATTCAAACAATTGTTTTAATAAAAATTATATATTTCTCGTCAATCATCCTTCGTTAATGAGTTAAAATGGTAAAAAAAAGGAACAACATTAATGTGTTTTTATATTTTTAAAGGGTTTGGAAAAGTTGGAACAAAAAATGAATAAAAGAATAACTTTTGACAGCTTTACAAGACTATAATATTTCGAACACTTATTTGATATACCTATATACATTCTATCATTTTCAAATGTATGAAAAATAATGATTGATTTGATTTTGATTTATTCAATATTTTGTATACTTTTTGTTATTTATAGAAAAATGTTGTACAAACACTTAAATTGTCGATACGATATTTTTTACTCGTATGACATAATGATTGTACATTTTTTTTAAAATTGATGATATATATCATATGGGTATTTTAAAAATAGAAACGAAAGATAACATCAGCGCATTTGATAAAAACGTCACCATCTTTAAATAGGAAAAATGTCAACTTGACACGTTGAAATGGGTAACTTTGTTTTCGGTAACAATGGGTTTTCTTGTCCGTTTACATTCATCGACTAATCACTTGGACGACCATAAATAATCTGGAGTTAATTCACGTGAACTTTCATGGTCACAGAGCTTTTGACGGTGTCAGGATTCGAATCGAGGTAGATGAGATCTTTTATTATACATATGTCTAACACTTAACCAGTATACCACAATGTAAATGGTTAAATGAGTACGTTTTGTACTAAAATAAAATGACTCTACAAGTTCAATGTTTTTTCTTCATGAACAAACACGAAGTTCAATATTCAAAATGAAAACTGTGTTAAATATGTCATGACATCCCAATTTTTATGCATGTTTAATATATCGTGGACCATTCAATAAATATGGACTTAATCAGATGTTACATCTGAATTTTAACCCAAATACAATTGAAATACTAAAACTTGATACAACTTTGATCTGACATAAATTCAACATAAACATCATATTCCGGTAATATTGATACAGTGGTAATTCTGAACTGAAGGATTGCAAATCTTTAGTCTATGTCTTAATAGTTCATGATGTATATACTGTATTAGATTCACGTTAAGTAGGTACACCTCTAGCTCAAATCAATCAGGCACCATCCGTGTGGTTAAAAAAACCATTATTTTCATATCATACTAAACAACTTGTACACGTGCAATGAAAATCTGAAATAATAAACGTATGAGATCTCGATATTGAACGGTATGGTGTGGGAATCATTATTTCGTATATGAATTTACCAAGTAAAGTGAACGCAATATTTACTAGTAATATCTGAACTTACCAATTAGAGAGGTACTCTCATAATACATGTACTGATTTTATGAATCTTCGTGATGCTCCATAGACATAAAAAAAAAACATCAATCAAATCAAGATTGCAATTTGTCAAGTGATAATTGCTCCAGCCGACCAAAAAAATTATGTTGAAAGGTTATATACTAACGATTTAAAATGAAAATTATCGTATTTCTCTATCAAAATCCCTAGCTCCAAAACCCGACTTTGATAGCCTTGAAAAACCCAACTCAGAATATCTGAGTAAGCATGGAAATACGATATGCCCTTAGGGAGGAACCTGGTGTATCCGTCCCAACAAAACCAAGGATTCCTCACCAAACCAGGGTTGGGGCCTGGTAACGTGATCCTCGACCCACCCCACCTCCACATATTAAATAATATTATATTTTAATTATTTACTATATCATATATTTATTATTAAATATATTATTTATAAATAATTAAATTTAGTATCTTTTTGATTTAGAAAGAGTATTTTGACATTTCTTCTTATATACATTTTTTCTGACTTTTCTTGTTTTTTTTAGATAAAAATATGGAGAGCTGAAAATGTTTGATTAAACAATTACGTACAACTCTTTAGTTTTATTAACATATGGTTATTTAATACTCCATGAAAGCAAAACTTTGGAAATATACGAGGTTGAATATGGTGTTTAACACATTTAATTTTAAAATATCTCACATAACCAAGAAAAAGATTCTTGATCCCCCATTGAGTACAAGATTGTGATCATATTCCCAAGCTAGGATGGACGGAAATCGGAGACGAGGATGGCGATTGGGGTCTGCCAAAAAAAAGTAAGAAGAGAGCAAACTTTTATCCAAAAAGTAGTGAATGTTTGTGGGAATAATTGTTTTTTTTTTTATTAACCATAAAAATCCATCCCACTATGCAAGTCAACTAATCCCAGGATGACCATCTGCTTTGCAAATAGCCCGGAGTCATCGTATTTGAACTTCCGTGGCCACAAGGGGATTTTTATTCCTCCTTGGATTTGAACATGGAACCTCCTAGTACTTTTGACCTCTGAAGCCAAACTTAAATCAATCAGGCACCACCAGGGTGTTTATGTGGGAATAATTGTTAACAAGGATAAACAGTTATATGAGCAAGAAATGTCCCAAATAAATCTTTGTATGGTTAACAATAAATGAGTCCACTTTATATTTCTATAATCACAAAGAATCCATTGATGGTGAATTGGGAATGGGTTATTATGGATAGCTCCATCAAGAAAAAGAGGTAAAACAAAGGTGAAATTAAAAGGTACATTCACAGTTCTCCATAAATACTTAGAACTAAAATGGTCCATAGATAGCTCAGCTCCATCATGAGATGACTTGTTCCACTTTTCTTGTACTGCTGTCAGGGCAACCATGGCTACTGACTGCAACAAAAGTACACAAACCTAACCATGAACATTTTGCGTGGTTCAAACCCAATAACCGTAAACAAGATGTGTAGATTAAGTTCATGAAAAATTTACCACTCGGTGATTGACGATTTCAATTCTGGCCATGGCTTCGGCTGAAGGATTGCCGTGTCATGAGTTTTCGACCAGAAACTTGGTGATCATCCTGCAAAAATCACACCTAATCTTAAATTTCTATAATTTCTAGTTTTCCCTTGGGACGCGCAAAAATTGCAACATTGAATTTGTGGAAAGATGAAAACCTAACCAAACCAACCCATTAATCTCATAAAAAAGGACCTTAAGAGATGTGAAAAGTACGCAAACCTGTCCTCACCCTCCTCATTTTTGGAAAAATGTTTGTCTATTATCATCGTTACAAACAAATTGACGATAATGACTCCTTCATTTTGTTTGCATTGAAGGGTATTTTAGATATTTGGCAAATAACCAAACGTTTTGGTTAGACTGTATAATAAATCAAATGTTGATTTTTTTAATGGAACCAAACCAACCGGGTAAGATGTACGCAGACCTGAACTCTACCCCAAAAAATAGAGCAGTTGTTTGAAACAGTCAAAGTAACCCATTGATCCAACAAGAAGACGAGCGCATTATATAATAACATGTCTCAAGCGTAAAGTTTTAGATAAGACTGAGTAATCTTACCACAGACATTGATAGTGAAATAGAACAAGACATACCTTGTACATTGAAGCAGCTGATTCAGATTCAACGGTTTGATTTGGTTCAGGCCCTTGGAAGCCATCTAAAGCATCTAATGTGAGCTGCCAGCCACAATGTGCTACGGCACTAGCGCTGGAACTGGCACCATTACCGACACTAACCCCAGCTGCAGCAACATTGCCATTCACCCAAGGACAGAAAAAATTGTGATGCTTAATTGGATCAAACTCCACAGGTTCTTCAAAGTTACTTTCTCCATGTGGAGGCCCTGAAAGAAACCACACACAATTCAGCAGCATGGACCATGATAGAGTATGAAAGAAAGGTAAATAACCAAAGGGCCATTGGTCCAGCAGTATCCGGATTACCGGTAGATCTCAACCTCCCTGGAGATCAACCGTTCAAGCCTAGCTAAAGCTGAGGCGTGTGTGTGTATAGGTCAGAGTAAGGTTCAGGGTTAAACCGCAAAAAAAAAAAAAAAAAAAAAAAAAAAAAAAACTAAGAAACACATTGGTAACCATTCATCTAGACGGTATGCACATGTGCATACAAGCAACTTGTAAGCAATTTGTCTAGTATGCACATGTGCATAAAAACCAAGAAACAACTTCAATTACTTATATGCACATATGCATATCGTCCGGATGAATGGTTTACTAGGGTGTTCTTCAGTTTTTCATTTTTTGGGGGTTTTCCCCTGAACCTCCCTCCCTCCCTCCCTCTCTCTCTCTCTCTCTCTCTCTCTCTCTCTATATATATATATATATATACCTGGGAAAGAAAAAAAGAATGACTAACCTATCCCATTTGCAGCTGGATAACTAGGGTAGCCACATTCATCGGTAGGAGATGACTTGCCTACCTGCATTACTTCATCCTTAGATGCTTCAAGGCCAGAACATACAACCGCATTGCAAGAGAGAGAAGGGTGGGAGCTTTGTTCATTGGGTAAGAGATTCAAGTCGCTGGTTTTTTCACCACTCTCAATAGATTCCGCCTTGGCTGAACCAACAATTTTCGAGCCACTATCTGCCCTTCCTCCTGACCGTGACATTAGCTCTTGACTCTCACCACGAGGATATTCGTGTTGCAGTTCTACAGGGACAAAATCACCCATCGGTCCAGGATCTGCAGCAAATTCGCCAGTTTGACCTTGGTTCTCAGTCACTCCAGTAACTGGTTCCATATCACCAACCACACTTTCCGTCCTATGAATCAGAGCATCAGAGCCATGAATCTCGGCTTCATGACTAGCACCCATTCCAACACTTCCTCCACTAATAGCAAAACTAGGACCATCCCTCCCATGAACAGTGGCAGTCTCGGTGTTGAGTACTTCCTCATCATTGGTGCTGCTAACACCTATCTCACCAGCAACTCTAACTGCAGGAGGGCAAGTACTTTGCTGTGCCTGAATACTGAGGTTCAAATCTGAAGTTTCGTTAATATCAGGGCTCTTGGGTGCTGAAAAAGAAGGATAATTGGCTTCATCTACATATCCAGGATGATTTTCAACGCTTTCCATAGAATCATCGTCTGCACTATGACAAACTGTATTCATTGCAATAACAGAGGAAGCTCTTGCTGAATCTTTAGTGGATGGATAACCAGCAGCTGGTTCATGCCCTTGACTGGGAGGACCAGCCTTTCCAATATCAAAATATAAGGTCTGGCTAGGACCGGCACCAGATGCGTCTCTCCTGTATGATGGCTGGTAGGATTCAAAGGTATGAGAATCACGTGCACGTTTAGAAGGGCCAGGGGACAACTTGCTATTATTTACTTCATCACCATCACGATCAATGACAACACCCTCGACACTATCCGCCTGGCGAATCATCCCATGTGGCCTATCAACAGTACTCCCACCTTCATCCAAGTTCCTTTTGGAAGTACTGGGACCGCGGGATTCATATGATGCTGCACGATCGCCAACCTCACTACCGGCTGGCTGACCAATAGCTAGATCCCTCCCTATATTTGCATCTTGGTATAGTTCAGATATCCCTCTCTTGTGCCCATGTGCGGTAGAAAATCCACTGCCTATTGTAAGATTCAAATCCACCCCGATATTTGACACCGACTTCCCATCCCCTGTAGTTGCAGCTTCATCAATATCCTCTGTCTGCTCTTTCTCCACGCCATCAGCAGCGACCCACCCACTAATTCCGCTAGCTGCACTCACTCCACGCGTAAGTGCCATCTTTTTACTTGTTTCAGGAACATCGATGTTGTTAGGAGCAAAACAAGCAGGACGAGCAACAGTCAGAAAGTCCAAGATTCTCACTGTGGCACCACATAAGCTACAATCTAACAAAGGGGATCTAGATTCGAATTTTGACGGCGGTTCATTCTTTAGAGGACCCTTCTTGGTTGAAGCAGACAATGTTTTCTTGTTAGGGCCTCGATCTTGCTGCGGGTCACAATCTTTAATAGGACTGAAAGAACAGCCATTCCTAGCTGATTGAGCAGAATGCTCTTCACAGTCTTGAACATTTGGAAGCCACCTTGGCTCCCATCCACAAAGGCTTATCAACTTCTGGGCCTAATGATAGAACAAGTACCATTTCAACAAAAACAATCACCAAAAAAACAACAAAAATTACTGCTCACTTAGTGATGTATGTATCTTACACGTGAATATATGCATATATCAGATGTAATTTCTGCCTTAAATCCAGATTCCCCAACAGAAAAAGCACATGACTGAACCAGAAAGCGGTCAATTTCGGGACCTCTTGAAACCCTCATCTGCTCCAGCGCCGAAGCAACCACAACTGGTAGACAAGGAAACTGAACGAGTCCATCACAGCGGTCCTTGTAACCCCCTATTAGGGCTGATGGAGGAGTAGGAGGGAATTGCACTAGGCTTTCAGCACAGCTGTTTCCTCTCCAAGGACAAGTGACATTGTGTCCTTCATCAAGCTGGTTGCCAAATTCTTCTCCACCATTATCGCCTGTTTGAATAGTTATGAACATGAAAATTGATAATAATGTGGTATCCTATTCTCAATCAAATACAAGTCTGAATGTAGTATTGAATGACAATAGAACTTTGGCATATGTCAAATGTGCATGAGTGATCAACAGACATCCCAGGACTAAGTAACCAACGTACTGATTTCTTCTTTTGTACACAATCTCCATAAAAGTAATTACTAGAATTTGCTTTCTGATAGTAACTATATAATAGTTCCATGCAGTCGGTTAACTGAAACCTTAGACCTCTATAAATTATAATGGGTCATGTTATGACGAAAACTTTGCTCTCTGTCTCTGAAGACAATTACAGGATAGACATCAAAGTGTATATTATGGCAGATCATACGCACCAAGTGTATCGGATTATAATTTTACTGCTTATGCTAATCATAGTTCACTTGATTATCAGGTGATAAAAGAGCTTGGGGCGACAATACTGTAATTAGTATAGTTTAGTAACTGTTTTTCCTACCCCAAACAAAGAGTAACTGTTTCATATGTTTCAGCATACTCCGTCTTTGTGATACATGCTTTACACAGGAAAAGTAAGAAAGAAAACAACAAAAGAAAAGACAAAAAAAAATATCAAGAGCGGATTTGAATAATAAAATTCGACTGTCTGCTAAATCCAGTCCCAACAACTTTAAAGATCCCTTTCTCAGTTCTCAGTGCTCTAAAGCCACCACCTAAATAATCTCACCACAGGAGGTACGATACCTGTGCCTGTGTAGCTAGAAATGGAAAATAGGAGAGAACAGTCTTAACACGATGAAACTAGATCTGGCTCCTTGCTTGAGGCAAAAAAAGACCTCATTAAGGGAGCTCTCTCTACCATATGGGCTCTTCCTGATAGTGCTTGAGAAATTTGAATGTGAAGCCAATTCGTAACTTGGCAACTATTGGGGTTTGAAATTTTGGGAATTATCATTTAACTCATATAAGACTTCAAAATGAGAACTCTAAATAGCCACTCAATACTTTCATTCAAACATTGAAACATTAACACGGCAGTACACTAAAACATGGTCAGTGACAAGACAGACATGAAAGAAATCAAATATCATGCCAGCCTGCTAGGTAAAGTTATATATAGCAAATCTCACCTTCTGTAGGAGTCCATGAATCCGGTGCATTATATTTCAGATTTGCACCACAAGACTCACACTGAATCTTATCAACATCCACATTCACCCAACCTCTCCTAGCACAGGCAAGCGAACTAGCAGCCTGCATGAACGACAATTAAAAGGAAAGGTACACATGCAGTAACCTGGCCAGATTCACATAGGCCAAGATAGTATAGCAGACGAGAATACGAAGTGGAAATGAAGTGCATGCAATGAAGTTAGCAACCATGTCAAGCTCAACTGACATTCTGTATGGTTTCTATATAGTCGCCTTTGGCTTTTTAAGGAGCATCAGATGAAAGGAGAAGGAAAAAACATGAATTCAAGGAAAAAGCATGCAGATGTACGTCCCGATAAAAGTATTAAGACTCCTGCCCAATAATATACCAGGAAGCATCACTTTTTGTTAAGCCTAGTATTAAGACTCTTGCCCAATAATATACCAGGAATCTCATTTTTTTGGTGGTACGAAGGGCGTTCCTATCGAGCCGGACAGGAGAGACACTATTTAAAGTTAATAGAAGCAATTCCTTTTATAAGCTTGAAAATAGGCCCCCCTCGAATAGATAGGGTAGGTAGGACTGGGTGAGAAAGGGTTTAGGCAAACGCTTGCATATGTGACAAACGTTGCTTATAGATCATCATGGCGCAAACCTAGTCCCTCTGCCACCCAAATCTAAATATTAAAGCTATATAACCCACAGATCTTAAAAGCATTTCATCTAACAACCTTAACCAAAATCAAGAGTTTAAACTGTAATGTCTAGAGAAATGGATTCAATATGACATTTATCCTAACTCACTTCAAATACAATTATGTCCATATTCTTTCTACCCTGTTTGAGGGAAAACATATGAGAGTATGAGCCAGAACATAAATGGCGGAAAGTCAATGTGCACATTAGAAAACTGGAGAGAAACAAATTGAAAATACTTTTTCCTGATCAGCAATCACCAATACTACATGTCACTTGGCAGGATGGTTCACGGTGCTCATAAGGTTCTGGCTCTATTTTTAGTTTTGTACCCCAAAGGAACAGCATGCAGTTCATCATTTTTCCACCTTGTGGCGCGCTACAAACAATCACATAGATGACCTGGTAATGGTTGTTTTTCAAAACAAATCATTTAACGTATTGTAGCTTGGGCTTAAATCAACTGAAGTGGGTCCGCTAGGAGTGACATTTATTTTCTGAAGCATATACTCTTTTGAACCCTCATTCAGTTTTGGAAACTAAGTCTATATTCTGCAGGTAATCCCTCCTAGCTGATTATTATGTAAGTTTTATGGATCACATATTTGGTAAGGCGAAAAAGGGTCCTTTAAGAAGCCAAACATATGAATCAAGGTGATATAATGACAGAGAAAGACATCTTATGTTAGTAAGTTCACTCAGTGGGTATTACAAATTCACTCTTCCACCAAAGTCGGTTCCTTTTAATTATCCTACAGCGAAAATGTAGGACTAGAATCAGATTGAGCATTATATACTCTGTGGCAAAGTAGTTACTCATTTCTAGCATAGACCAGCTCCAACCACAAGTAAAAAACACTTAAAATGGTGGGCCCTTTAACCCCAAAAAATAATTCAACTCCAACCACACTTCAAAAAGAACACCAAATTGGTGGGCCCATAATTTTTCTTGAGAGGGAGGTGGGCCATATAAAAAATAACATAATTCATTATTATTAATCCATTTTTTAGAATACATTACTTAAAACATGTAAATAATTATCATAGTAAATGAACAATTTATTTAATGAAGGCTCGTTAAATTCATTAACACTATTTTTATTATTTTTTCTTCATTATTTTTTATTTACAATATGTTTTTTCAATATATATACAATGAAAAAAATAAATTAATAAACACAATATGAATTGATATAGTAAATATTAAAAATTGAAATGAATGCATTTAAAAATATAAATTGGAAATCGAAAAGATAATTAAAGAAGAAGAAAAGTGGGCATTTCTCTTCTGCATGGGGAATAGTAGACCGGCAAAAATGCAGTCTCATCTCCAAGAAAGCTCCAACACAGCATTTCTTTTGTCGCTTTACCCGCCAGTTGGACCTCCCTCACCAGCAAAATGGTGGCAGTGTGATTGGAGATGCTCTTAGTCATACACTCATGTGCGGTGGCTTGAGTGGGATTTTTGTCATCATCTTTAATATCCAATTTGAGGCTCTGTATAAAAACCTGGCTATATTATCTGTTCTCCTTATCTTCTCTGCCACATTTGTTCCGTTAAAAATTTATCTAAACAAACCACCAACTTCAACTTTCTCTCGCACAAGTTCAAACCGAATACACAAGGTATTCAATATGGAGCCATATTATCATAAAGCTGAAGTGGTCAAATCCTTCACACAATCTATATTCATGTGAGCTTTGGCCTTCCCTTTTCCCAATCATTACCTTTGATGCTGAAACAAGTATGTACTCTTCAAACTGGCACATTTACTACTCAGCTCTGTCAATTACCAGATTTGGGATAATTTTAATAATTCTTAATGTGCAAATGTTTGCACCACCATTGGGTCTATGGTACACATTCTCACACACTCATCACAACCTCCTGATCTTCATATATTCAATCTTAGGTTGCTCAAAAAATGTACATTGAAGCAAGTTTGTTTGATAGTGGCCTAAAATACCCAACTGTATTGCTGTCCAATTAGTCTGGACTGAGAATACTCTATCTTCTACCACTTGTATAACAATCGACCCTCCGTAGCAAGATATGTCACTTTGATATCATTGTGCCACCATATCCCTATCAAACCATCTTATTATACACTTCATCTCATGCTGTTGCAGAAATTTAAAAAGCCCAAAACAGTAAGAATCTTGAATTCACCTCCACAGTCCATCTAGGAAATGGATGTCAATTCTTGGCCAATGTGTGTTCTGGAGATTTGGTGCTATGGGGATACTTTAAAAGATATATAAAAATACATCAGACTAGCAAATAGGGGTTTTGCGGCTTTTGCCAAAACCTTCAAGTTGTTGTTTAGCCCTAATAATAATGTGTTATACCATACAACATGAGATATCCCCTGCTTATGATGATTTGCTCATTCAGTCTTGTTATATGACTCTCTGTCCATTATTATCATCTCTTGGCACTTGTGTTGGAGATTGATGTTTGTTTTTGTTCCTTTTTAGAATAAAGTACTTGTCATTTAAAGTGTTTCAGTTTATGTATGTGTCTATGTTCTTCTACATACTATAAAAGAATAAATATGTGTAAACATATGACATATACCCATTTTTCAGATTTTCTCAGTCGGCATACCTAAATAACAAATCCATATCCCCACACCGATATCCTAGCTTCCTAGAAACATTCTACACACAATTTCCATCACATCTACCATATTGCAGGAGAGCAACTACACATATGTTTGATAGGAGCATATCATTTAAGTACCGAGCAAGACTGTATTGCTCACCCAAATAGGACCACATGAAAACAGTACAGCTTTATCTTTCCCCAGAAAACAGAAAAGAAAACTACAAAAACAGATGTATATGTGTAAGTCTCTACTCTCTCTTCTTATATGAGAGGTTCCAATAACATGAGTTTGACGTGTATGAATGCATTAAATAAAACAAATTGAGTTCAAACCTTAGGCTTTCCAAACCAATTTGCAGGCCTAAATGTGGACAATCGTCTTAGTAGATCACCCCTTTCCCATGGTCTACATGAAGGCTGGGACGAGCCAAGAGCTGAACCACCAGCACTTGTACTTAATGAAATCCACATGGGCTGCGAACTAATCCGAGATAGAGAACCTGCTTTGGATCCCTGACCATGACTCAACCAATCTGTACTGCCAGCATTCGTGGCAAAAGCTGGTGATGATGCCCCAGCGGAACTGAAAATTTTGTAGATAAAGTAACTAGATGATTATAACTTATAACACATTCACTTTTACTGTATGAGCTAGATGAGAATGCTTCAAACTCAGCTACTGAAGTCAACATTGCATGCAAATCCTACAGTGCATTTTCTCTCCTAAGCTACCCGAATTTAGCTCACAAGTCCAAATTTTGGGATAGATTCTAACTTCTCAGTGTCAAATTTTAGATATCCTATAATTTAGAATTTCTAAAGCTTTAGGAAGAACAAAGATGGTACTTAACAGTACTCTAAACAGTTCATTACATATTTACATACAATGTTATACTAAGATATATCCTTGATTCCTTGTTAATTCTGAAATTTAGCATTTTACAAATTGACAACCAAAAGTGAAAATGTGTGTACTTCTTCAGATCTTTCACTAGACTTCAAAAGTTGGAGCAATATCGATAATATGGGAACAAAATCTACTAGATGGGTAAATTTGGCACAGGTGTAACATCCATTAAAAACCTTTGAATTCTTGAAACGTGCAACCACAGAGAAATTCCCCAATTAAGCTAGACGGTTAAATTCTATATCCAAAAATAAAATTGAATACCAATTTAAACCGTCACTAACTAGGAAAACTGGTAAACAGATAATCTCCCAAATCCCTATTTTCAAAAATATAATTCACGACTCGGGTATTAAGCAATTCAACAGCACATTGCATCTCGGTAAGCGTACGCAAAGAACAACCGTGAAACAAAGTCGCAATGAACATTTGCAAACCACATACAGCTATGTAGGAACGAAATTCCAACAAATGAATCAAAAATTAGGGTTAGGTTTACCTGGCAGCAGCAGGAGGAGGAGGAGGAGGAGGGGGAGAATTGGAGAAAATTAACGGGTCTCCCGATGAGCTAATTCCTTCTTCCCTCATTGACTCTTTTGAGGAATTCCTTCTCGCACTCACACACTCTCCTTTTCTCTTTCTTGGCGTCGTCTCTGGTTCTGTTCACTAAAATTGATGCTTCTGGTATTTTACCTCATCGATCGTAGCAAGTAGACTACAAGATTTTGTAGCTCCTCCCGAGGCACGTGAATCGTGCGTGATCGTGTGAAGAGTTGACTTGTACCATATGCATGTAATGTTGTACATAACTTGTCTCAAGTCGAGTAAACGAGTTAAACCGGAACATTTTTTATCCATCGAGTTGCTTCTGTGTAAAGATTTTTTTGTCGAGTTGAACCGGTTTGAAACTTTTGAAACCAAATGATCGTTTACTAAATATTTATCGGGTGATTTTTCTAAATAAGCTGAATCTTACAGCAGAATCCAATAATCTTACAAAATAAAAAGACTCTTACTTGATAAACGCTTACAGAATAAAAAGACTCTTACTTGATAAACGCTTACAGAGTAAAAACCGTTTAAGGTAAGTAATGATGATAACTTTTTGCCGGTAAACTGTCATGTAATAAGCATTTGGTAAACGACTCATAAGTAATTTGGTTCACTTACAAGTATATAGGCAATAAGTAGTCATTTTAACTAAATTGAATCACACACACACAAAAACGTAAGAACATATGAAACATACAATCATCAGATATGATAAATTGGACACATGATGAACAAGGATAACCTTGGTTGGCCAAATCGCCCGCACACTAGTTCGTCCCCATACATATCACATGTAATGGTTGCTTATTTCATGTGTTTTTACGTTCTTGTAAATTGGTACCTTTTCAAAGGAGAACAGAACCATTTCATAAGAACATCTGCAATAGACAACCATTATACGTGATTAAGCCAAGTCGCCTGCATGCTATTTTGTCCCATACAGTATCACATGTGATGGTTGTGTATTTAACTGTTTTCACGTTTTTTTTCTTTCTAAAATGGTACCATTCTTATTTAAATCTCCACACATAAATGATATATATATATATATATATATTGGTAATTAATACCCATAATAAATGGAGATCACTTGAATTTACTCGAATACAAATAGCGCATAGGTGATGCTCGAGATTTTCATCCACCAAAGGCTTGTGTGTCATATTTTGGCATGCTTCTCGATATCAGATTCCAAGCTTCAACAACTTGTTATGAACTTTTTGTAATTCTCAGAATAAACTATAAATCAGAAACATTTAAGAGTAAGACTCGTTAGTACGAAATAATTGATTAGTCAATCATCCAAACCGAATGTGTCAAATATAAATTCGAATAAAAACCCAAATCGACGTTTTCACCAACTTAAATTACCCGTTTATATGATCCATGGGTATTGTTTGTAACGCCCGACCTCTAGAACAAAAATCTAAAATCTTATATATAATATGTCAGTTAAAATATTGGTTACGGTTTATTTTGATTTACATTTGACACCCTTAATTTTTGATAATTTACTAATCGGTCTCTTTATACTAAGAAGTTGGCATTTCAAGTGTTTGTAGTTTATACATATTCATTTGTATGAAATAAGAAGTCTATAACAAGTCGATGAAACTTTGATCGATATTGACAAGTATGCCAAAAAGATGTCATATCCGTGAAGCTTTCGGTCACAAAAAAGAAAAAGGATCACTTAAAATCACAAATATAACAAGTTAAAGTAATTTAGGAGCCGTTTATTAAACGGTTATCAGATAAGTGCTCATTGGTAAGAGTTATTACCTTCACTTATCTGATCATATAACATGTTTTGCCATCAAAATGGATTGTGGTAGGCATCTTTTTTTTGAAGGAGACAACACTCCTGGCATATCAATAGAAACGAAAAAACAAGAAACACCTAGCCGGCGTGGATCAACCACCCGAAACCCAACAGAAGCGGTAGGTGGTAAGCTTATTTTACCGATAACGAAAAAAGGACAAAGAAGGAGATAAATGGCGGGGCAAATGACGATGATGAGAAGTGAATCGAGTGATGGAGAGTAGACGATGATAAGGCTGCGAGATGGAGCGAGAATGCTGAGTGCAAGGTTAGAGAACGGTAAAACTGGTTTAAGTATTATTTTAATTTAAAACTTTTCTAGCCGGTTATAAGTAGGTTTTTTTGAATTAAAAGAACGTAGTTAATCAATTTTATAAAAATTCAATGTTTATTTTAAAAAGTTCGTATACTTAATCATTTAAAATGAAAAAAGCTTAATAGTTTATTTTCTATACAAAATTTCAATGACTTGATCAAGTTTATTAAATTTAGAGTGAATTTCATTTTTTGTTCTTATGATTTATTAAAAATATGGTTTTCGTCCTTCAACTTCACTAATTACATCCTAGCTTCTAGGGGCTTTCATGGGTTTGGTTGATCGGGTTGAAGATATTTGAACAACCCAATCAATGTTTGTGGTTTGAAAAATCTAAACCAACCCAACTCAAACCAAAGTGCAACCAAACCCAACCCAAATCGTACGAGTTGGTCAGATTAATACTTTGGTACATTAAAATATTTTTTAACCTTGCATATATTATTTCTCTACTCATAATTTATTTTTTAAATCTTACGTATATCACATTCAGTTAATTTTCTCGGTTTACATATTATGTTCACAGTTACTAAACATGTATACGAATGAGTTATATAGAGATGGATAATAGATTGAAAATATGTGTATATGAAGAGAGTCCGTGATAGTGTAGTAATCTAATGTATATACTAATAGAAACTCAACAATCATATTAAATCCAAAAAATACAAGGATATCAGGTTCATCAGGTTGATTTGAGTTCAAATAATAGTAACACAATTTCAATCCAACATCTACGGTTTGAAAATTTTACAACTCGATTAGATACTAAGTTGTTTCAGGTTGAGTTATTTCATATTGAGTTGGATTTGATTGACCAGATTAATGGGTTGATCGGGTTTTTGAACACCCCTACTAGCTTCTGTGGTTTTCCAACAACAAAGGTGTTTAGGGCAATGTCATTATCCCTTGTCAAACAGGAGCTAAGATGTAATTAATAAAGTCGAGGGACTAAGAACCAGATTTTTGATAAACCACAGGGACTAAAAATGTAACTCACTCTCAAATTTATCAACCCGATGAGTATTTAGGATTTGGTCTCAAGGGAAGAAATTTGTGTTTCTGGTGGGACGACAACCAAAGAAATCTTGAAACCTTATCAGACACATGTAATGTTATCATTTGATGAGAGGTATAGAATTAGCCACACACACAAACACCAAGCTTACACACACTCTTGCTTTCATCCCCACCTCCTTTCGACCACAACCACACGGTTAACAACACATACCCTTCATTCTTCCCTCCACATACACACTAACGGCTCTGCTAACTATACCCAATCCATCCACAAAGAACGGAGTCTCTGACGAATTTTCCAGAGGTAAAGATTTCATCTTCCTTTGGGGGTTTTCAATTTGTTCACAATTTTCTTTATCTTTTTGAATTTCTGGGTGTTTTCGAAACCCTCTACTTTCGATTTTGACCCATTTGTAGAATTTGGGGCTCGAATTGTAGTGAAGTGGGTATAAGGAGAGTGTGGTGAAGGTGTTATTAGGCCATTGCAGTTTAGGTGTTTGACAAATTGTTCCTTTGGATGGGAAGGTAATGTTGGAATCTATATAGAGTGTAATTATGGCTTCTTTTGCTTCCTTGGTGGGTTTGGGAAGTATCTGCACTTGTTCTTCTGGTCAATTGGAAGGGACCCGTTTATCTATTAGGAGAGTTTATTTGCCCACTAGTTCTTGTGGTTTTCATAGCTTATTGGTTGGGAAGAGGTGGAGGTATGTCTCGATTTGTAAATATTCTGTGGCTACTGATTTTATAGCTGATCAAGGGACTTCTGTATCTCTTAATGCAACCAATAAAAGTAGCAAAGAGGATGCTTCTGATCTCTTACTTAAGCCAACTCGAAGGCCCGTGTTGAAACCGCCTGAGGCTAAGATAGAACAGGTTTCTGGCACAAATAATGCTGGTTGGGACCCAACTAAGCTTGGTGGTGGTTCTGGTAGGGAGAAGTTAGATGAACAAGAAGAGAGGAATAAGGTGATTGAGTCATTGGGGGAGGTATTGGAGAAGGCTGAGAAGTTAGAAACAAGCAAGAACGCGAATGTGCCAAATAACAGGTCATCACCTCCTTTGAGAACAAACACAAACACTGACGAACGGAATGCCAGCCGGGTTAATTCAACAGCTGCTGGGAAGGCTAAGACTCTTAAAAGTGTATGGCGGAAGGGGAATCCAGTTTCTACTGTACAAAAGGTTGTAAAAGAAGCTCCCAAGATTGAGAAGGTTGATGAGGAGACATCAAAAATGGAGGTAACCGGGAAAGTTGAGAGTCAACCAGTTGCTCCACTAAAACCTCCCCAGCCACCTCAGAGAGTTCAACCTCAATTACAAGCGAGACCATCCGCAGCTCCTCCTGTCAAGCGACCAACCATCTTGAAGGATTTGGGAGCTGCTCCCAAGCCTGCTATAACTGATGAAGTTGATTCTGGTACAAAGACAAAAGAACGCAGCGGACCCATATTGATAGACAAGTTTGCATCCAAGAGAGGAGCTGTTGACCCAATGGTTGCTCAAGCTGTTTTAGCACCTCCTAAACCGGGAAAGGGCCCTGCTCCCGGGAGATTCAGGGAAGATTTTCGAAAGAGAAGTGGTGCAGCTGGAGGAGCACGCAGGCGGATGGTTAAAGATAATGAAATTAATGACGAGGAGACATCAGAGCTGGGTGTCTCAATTCCTGGTGCCAAAAAGGGAAGGAAGTGGAGTAAGGCTAGCAGGAAGGCAGCTAGACTACGTGCAGCTAGGGATGCTGAACCTGTGAAGGTAGAACTCATGGAAGTTGATGAAGAAGGTATGCTAGTTGATGAATTAGCCTACAACTTGGCGGTCAGTGAAGGGGAAATTCTTGGGTTTCTCTATGCAAAGGGTATTAAGCCTGATGGGGTGCAGAAACTGGACAAGGAGATGGTGAAGATGGTTTGTAGGGAGTATGATGTGGAAGTCATGGATGTCGTTCCAACTAAAATAGAGGAAGGGGCGAAAAAGAAAGAAATCTTTGATGAAGAAGACCTGGACCATTTACAAGATAGACCCCCTGTCCTCACCATCATGGGTCATGTCGATCATGGAAAAGTAAGCAAAAACGTATTTGCATCTCTCAATAGTTGCTGCTTTAAACATGTTTAAAGACTAGTTTGTGCTAATATCTCTTCCATGTTTTTTTGCATATGACAGACAACACTTTTGGATTATATCCGGAAAACCAAGGTATCGTTGGATCATATTCTATATTAAATGCTTCATTTTATTTACCCATGGTTAATTTCTTTGTGATTATAATTATTTCTTGATCTAGTTATAAGTTAGTTTTTTGACTAAAGAACAAAATGAGACTTCATTACATGTCATCCAACAAGCACACCAACTTGCATTGTAATTCTAGTTAATTGGAGATTGAAGCTTGACTTAATAACTTCCATATATTACAGGTGGCAGCTTCTGAAGCTGGTGGGATCACACAAGGAATTGGAGCATATCAAGTTGAAGTTCCTATTGATGGCACTGTGCGATCATGTGTTTTTCTTGACACTCCTGGACATGAGGTAATAACATCAAACTCCTTAGATTTGGGCTTGAGGCTATAACTCTTGGCAATGCGATGTCACTATACACTGTAGATTTGGTCTTAGATGACTATGCCCATTCCTGTAGGCATTTGGTGCAATGAGAGCTCGTGGAGCAAGGGTCACCGATATTGCTATTATTGTAGTGGCTGCTGATGATGGTATTCGTCCTCAAACAACTGAGGCCATAGCTCATGCCAAAGCAGCTGGTGTGCCTATAGTTATTGCTATTAATAAGGTATCATAGATGTACTTAATGGTGTCACTTGCAATGGCCATACCTACCTTCAGGCTTTAGTTGGCTACACATTTGCTAACTTCCACCCAATTTTTTTTCATATTTCTAGATAGATAAGGAGGGAGCTTCAGATCGGGTTATGCAAGTCATGCAGGAACTTTCTACAAATGGCGTACAACCAGAAGACTGGGGTGGTGATGTTCCTATGGTTCAGGTGCAATATAAAAGCCAATAATTGTACTTCATTTTATCGTCATCTATGCCACACGACGCTTATTATTGGTAAACACTCCTGTTACAGATAAGTGCTCTTACAGGCAAGAATGTTGATGATTTGTTGGAAACCACCATGCTTGTTGCAGAGGTAAATATTTCGAATTGGTATACCATCTTGTAGCTTATATGACTCGTTCAAGGAAAAAATATAAAAACGTTTAAAACCCAGATCAAAATTTGGTTTTTACATACTCGTCTAATGTGACTTTATGTGTCAGTCTCATTGGCTGAGGTTTTCTGGGCTTCTAGAATGTTGACTGTCATTAGTTGATGCACCGTCAATTTCGCTATGTGGATATAATTTTATTCACGATAGTCCTTTCTAGAGCTGAAAGTAACAAATCTTGAACGATCTATAACTCACATTGCATGATATATGAGTCAATAAAGCAGTATGCTCAGGAAAAAAGGATTTACCTATATTTATATTCATTTATGTATTTTAACTAGTTTGGGATTCCTGGTTTGTGTATTTTATTCCTTCATACTTTAATGTTGTAAACGGTGTTTTTTCTTCATTTTAGCTGCAAGAATTGAAGGCTAATCCTGATAGAAATGCAAAAGGTACCGTCATTGAGGCAGGTCTTGATAAATCAAAAGGACCTGTAGCTACTTTTATCGTGCAGAACGGCACACTTAAAAGAGGGGATGTAGTAGTTTGTGGTGAATCCTTTGGAAAGGTTTGTGAATGAGACCAAGATCAAGATCTTATAAAAATCTTGGCATTCAAATGTTTACTTGGATTAATCTTATCTTTTTGATGGCTTAAGAACATACCATTTTTGGGCATTTGCAGGTCCGAGCTTTATTTGATGATGGTGGAAAGCGAGTCGATACAGCTGGACCATCAATACCAGTACAGGTAAATATTTCGTTCAGATAACTTCTTGTTCCTTGCCCTTTATCCCCTCCACGGCTTTAGTCCCAAAAAGTTGCAACCCTTTCCAACTTGGGATGTCCCAAAATATGCAACATTTCCATTTGTAGGAAGTTTTCAAGTTAGAATCACCTATTTGCAGGCCTCCCTCCATCAGCTAGGCAATTTCGTGTATGTTACATATATTTTGTTAGGTAAATATCTGTAACGAAAGGGAACTACTTCAAGGTGTAAATTTTTATGGAAAACAAAATTTCAGGTCAAATTTATTTTCTAGCAAGATACAGAAAAGGGGCAAACTTATGTCTACCACCAATGTTACCATCAAAGCCAGGCTGAGAGGTCTTGTATGATCATCCGAGCCAAACATGATCTTGGTATGGCTCGGGCTCTGCAGCTCGGTGAGCATAAGTAAGCTCTGGTTAAGATAGTTTGTATCAGCCCCTTAGTTGACGATTTCTAATTGTACCTTTTGAAGAGGGTTCATTTCTAAGCTTGTTTGAAGGTTTTAATTTTTAACTTTTTATGAGCCAATATGTATCTAGGCTAAGGGGCTGTTACTACCTGCTTCCACCTCTTACTGGGTAAGAGGTGCTTACCCGTAAGAAGGAATGTTGTTTTACCAACACATTCTGACCCACAAATATGCTGATCGAGATGCTGACCCAGTAAGGAAAGGGTTGCTTTCTGATTCGGTTAGAGCTTCAGTTAACGCTTACTCAGACACTTGGTAAACAACCATTTTCAATCGGCGCTTACCCAGACTGAACCTCTTACCTAGACCACACTCTTACTCAGTTAGCGTTTACCAAATTTGTGTTGATAAATGGCCCCTAAGTGAATTAAGCCAAGACTTGAGCTTCTAGAGGGCCGAGTCAGACCTCAAGTTTCCAAAGGTCGACAACCACAAGTGAAAACCAATTGTACTATTCTTTATATTTCATCTACCCTTCCCAGATTCTACTACATGTGGGGTTTATTGGGTTTGTTCGCTTTGGTTTTTTTCCTTATCTTGATCAAAAACTTCTGCTGTGAACTTTTTAGGTGATCGGATTAAACAATGTCCCATATGCCGGTGACGAATTTGAGGTTGTTGACTCCCTTGATATTGCACGTGAGAGGGCAGAGGAACGCGCAATATCCTTACGAGATGAACGTATATTGGCCAAGGCTGGTGACGGAAGGATTACTCTTTCTTCCTTTGCTTCTGCAGTCACAACGGGCAAGAATTCTGGATTAGATTTGCACCAGCTGAACATTGTTATGAAGGTCGACCTTCAGGTATGCTCATCTACTTCATGCAGCCGAAATCACAAATGGGGTATGTAATTATCCTCTAAAAACACCTTTAAACTCTCCTAATCATGATTAGGGATCAATTGAAGCTGTGAAACAAGCCCTACAGAAGCTCCCACAAGATAATGTCACTTTGAAATTCATTTTACAAGCAACTGGCGATGTGAGCGCTAGTGATGTTGATCTTGCAGTCGCTAGTAAAGCCATTATTTTCGGGTTTAATGTCAAAGCACCAGGTTCTGTTGAAAAATACGCAGACAACAAGGGCGTTGAGATACGGCTCTATAAAGTTATATACGATCTTCTTGATGATGTGCGAACTGCAATGGAAGGACTGCTAGACCCTGTTGAGGTATGTTGAAATCTTATCTTTTCTTGATCTTCATTTTCATAATATGTTTTTTTATTTGTGTTTTAAGTCGAAAATTCTTTTATCTTACAGGATCAAGTGCCAATTGGTTCGGTAGATGTTCGTGCGGTGTTTACTAGCGGCAGCGGGCGTATTGCAGGATGCATGGTGACTGAGGGAAAAGTGACGAAAGATTGTGGAGTTCGGGTTCTGAGAAAAGGCAAGACGGTTTTTGTTGGCGTTCTTGATTCTTTGAGACGGATCAAGGAGGATGTCAAAGAGGTATGCTACTGATAATCCAATTCTTAGGATTGAATGCGGTATTCACACATAAAATATCTGTCTTTGCCATCACAAACGATTTCTTGCAAAGTCATTGACTGGCTTGTAGTTCAGATCGGTTCCATATCTAACAAAAAGCAATGTAAACCGAACCAAACTAAGGGGCTGTTTTTGGTTGGTTTTTCATTAAGTTCTATATGAATAAAGTTGTCTGTGTGGATTAATCTGTCTGTATAGATTGGAAAAGTTTTTGTTTAGGAAGGCTTTTCATAGATGAAAGAAGCGTGTTTTTTAATTGGGAGGGGTAGATTTCGAGGAAAAACTTGGCTTTCTGCATAAAGCTCACTCCTAGAAACTTGCTGAATAAACCATTTTCTATATCATTAAGCCACCACCAAATAGTCATATATAGCTAACCGAATAATCCGAGAGTCTCATTAAGCTGCTAAAAAACAGGCCCTAACCCACTATAGCCTATGCAGAGGTGGGTTGAGGGATAAGTTATATGCAGACCTTGCCTCTATCCCAAGGGTTAATGAGGTTGTTTCAGTAAAGACTTTTAACAGAAAACAATGGTGTATTCATGATTTCTAGAGCTTGGAGTCACAAATGGTAGTTGTAAACTGAGTTTTTGCACTCAGAAGTCAAATACAAACTCTTTGTTTTCTTGAACAGGTGAACGCGGGACTAGAGTGTGGAATTGGAGTCGACGACTTCAATGAATGGGAGGAAGGTGATGTTATCGAAGCCTTCAATTCTATTCAAAAAAGACGAACACTTGAAGAGGCATCAGTGACAATGGCAGCAGCGTATAAGGAAGCTGGAATCGAGATGTAATAACGATAAAACATAAATTCGTGTCTTGTCCCCATGATTCTTTCAGTCAGCGATCCAACATTTTAGCACTGAGTCGTCAGAACAGCTTCTCTCCCAGATTAAGCCTTAAGTTATGGGCTTGCAGAAAAGGTTCGTTTAGCTCAGTCCGTCCTGTTATACATGTATGCTACTACATTACATTGTACATAGAAATAGAAGTCGAGCTTGTAAAGAGGGACAAAATCGAGAATTCACATGATCGAAAAGCTCAAGAGTCCGAGGAGACCGACGATGGTAACTACTTGTAATGGTAGCACACAGGGCAGAAGTTGTAGAAAAGAAAATATTTTGGTGATTCATGAAAACGTTTTGCTGTTCTTGTTTTGCTCTTTTGACAGGAGTCATTCGACCTTATTCTTTGCTACTGAATACATTTATGGTTTCCAGAACTTTCGATTGGATCTTGGTTCGTTTTTTTCCTTTTCGTCACACTTTTGCACAAGTCGGGGTCTTAACGGAAATTTCTTGGCTTTTGCAAAGAAAAACTTCGGCCCAATCAGCCTTTAAATCTGGGCTTGGGCTTTATGTGAAATGGGCACTCCATCGATAAAACCCACCATTTAAAATGGTGTTATGCACTCTCTTTCGATTTTTACTAATCCACAACACTATAATTTGTAAGAATAAAGTATCGAGTTTGCAAACTAATCAACATGTTATAAAAACACTATGACGTGTAAGAATTAAGCGTCCGAGTTCAATTCAAAACCGACTCTTTTTAGGGTGCGTTTGGTTTGCGGGATTGGAATGGAATTGGGGGGATTTGGATTTGAAATCCATTCTAATCCAGTGTTTGGTTTGCTAGATTGTGAGGAATTGAAATCCAAGGATTCCTTTGAAATCCCATGAACGATGGATTTGGAAATCCTTTGAAAATACACGGGATTTTAAAATCCATTCCCGATTACACAGCTTACATTGTCTCCATCTCCATCTCCATATCCATATCCAGAGCTAAACATCGCTCCATCTTCTCCCACAGCTTACATCCCTCGCCCTCTCCCGTCGTCGTCGCCGTCGGCCCTTCGTCGCCGTCGCCCTTCGTCTCCGTCGCCGCCTCCGTCGGTGGTCGTCGCTCACCGTCGCCCTCGCCGTCGCCCACTGCCTTCTCCCATCACTCAACAGGTAAATCCCTTTTCCCCCTAAACTATGAACACAGATTAGGTTAAATCCTTCAATTTTGACAGATTAGGTTGAATATACAGATTAGGTTCAATTTTGCTGTAGTTCTCGATAATTTTGCTGTAGTTCTTTATAATTTTGCTGTAGTTCTCGATAATTGTCAATTGAATAAGGAGACCCAATACTACAAATCCTACAAACCAAAGAGGATGGATTTTAAATCCAATCCAATCCAAATCCCATGGAATCCAAATCCCTCCTGGGAATCCAAATCCCTCAAAAACATTCCTGCAAACCAAACGCACCCTTAGTTTCAATAGAACGAGTGCGGCTGCAAAAGAGGATCAAACACCTATCCACATTACATTTGCTGAATGATATTTTGTTCTATCGATCGGTTTAGGCGCATTTCTTCACGTGATTTAACGATTGTCAGTTAGATTTCAACAGCATCTTCCACCTGAAAAAAGCAGTTCACAAGATTTAGTTTTTAACCACAGATCAAGAGTGGCATGGTTCGAGCAAGAAAGCGTGTACCAATGAGCTATCAGTGATCCCCATTGTCTGTGAATCGAACTCATCTCTTTAGCAGAAGGCACTGAAGACCCCATTTTATTGACATATATAAGAGATTCCGATAGCCGATTTAGTAGATTAATCAAGGCTATCACTTCATTTCTTTGTAACTGCAGCTGTAAGAACGTATATAAAACGGAAATACCATGAATATTAGCGTTAGTTTTTGGGACAGGGAGTGAGAGGTAAAAACAAAAGGAAATACATCAAGATGAACTTGAAAAGGATATGCGATACTGACATGTGGGTCTGGGTTTCCCCGATCATTAACAGAGAAGAGAATTTTTAATGCGGTTCCAAGGCCGAGAACCTGAAGTTTTCCCCAAAGACGACACTTCTCGCACCCTACACAGTCCATGAGTGCACTGCCACATGTACAAGTTTCACTTACGGCAACCACATATGCATATAACAGTAAATGGGGCTGCTACATCAAAAAATTTGGAACTTTGTACCTCCAAAACCAAATAAACCCGGTATATCCCACTCAAAAGTAGGGTCAAGGAGGAAGGAGTGAATGTATGCAAGCCTGTGCTATAGCCTAAAGGGTATAGTGGTTGTTTCCATAAAGGCCACCACTTTGTGCAAAAGTGTGAGCAAAAATTAACAGGAAAGGATAAGAAGAACCAAGACTAATAGAAAATAAGAAGCAGTAAAGACGAAAAAAGAAATAGGCACAATAAAACATAACAAGCTATATATATATATACACATATATATATATATACACGTAGAGAGAGAGAGAGAGAGAGAGAGAGAGAGAGAGACGGAGGGAGGTTCTGGGAGAACTCCCCAAAAGAACAAAAATTTGAGGAACACCCTGGTAATCATTCATCTTTACGATATGCCCATGTGCATACAAGTAATTGAAGTTGTTTCTTGGTTTCTATGCATGTGTGCATGTTATGCAGATGTGTATACCAGACAAATTACTTATATGCACATATGCATACTGTCCAAATGAACAATTACCAGGGTGTTCATCAGCTTTTTTGTGGTTTTCTGCTGAACCTGACCCTACATATATACACACAGAATTCAGGATGAGACCTTATGTTCCGAAATTGATTTTGGATCTGTTGTCTAAGTATGGGTCCACCTTGGCCTTGCCACATTTCAGCTTCATCAAATGGAAGAGCGCATGCAGCTTGCAATTTGGGATTGTGAACCAGTTTTCGTATCAAGGATTGGGCTTTCAGATCCTCTGCATGGTTACCGGAATCATACTCAGCCTGATCCAAATAAGTAGCTGCCTGCAATATGCGACATACTTATCTTGTAGAAATTCTGACTGTGACATTCGAGTCCTCGTGGAAAGGCTGCTAAAAATGCTTACTTTTGTCACGGCTCTAAGAATGAATAGAAAAGTGAAGTACAAGTTTTGCACACGATCAGGATGTTTCACGACACGATCATGCATCAATTCAAGATTTGGACCCCACTGTAATTGCAGCCAACAAATTGTTAATTTACCATTAAATTACTCATAAAAGGTCCTAGTCGGGGTTTTACAATAGATACAACGCATTTTCCCATCATCAAGATTGCATGCAAGAAAATCCCATCAATGATACCAGTAGACAACTCCAAGTTTGTTTATAATTTTTTGGCAAAAAGTAAGTTTCTTAAGTAAATGATTACATAAGCCATATTGGAGATATTTTCAACAAATAAGATATGTATATTGACATAGAGAACATGTAGATCATCACATAACACGCACCTGATTGGCAGTCTCGTCAAGGAGATAATCAGCAGCTATGTGGACTGAAATTGAGGAATGCATACCAGATATTAACTTGTACAGTACTTTCTTCTCTGGGCACACCTCTCCAAATGCATCTGCACAAAAAACGTGATCCTAGGAGTTCATCATATATCAGTCGAAAGTAAATAGACACACATACACTTTGCTCCAAAGATAATTCTCAGTTCACTTGTTTCTTTCTATTTTATATCACAAATGCAAGCATTAAACATTCTACATTTGTGGGGGAATTTACTTTTGGCTCATACAACTTGGGTGGATTTATTAAAGCAATTTGTCATGCAAACATGGTGTAAGATTACGTTTTTAAATAACAGATAAATTTATTTGTCCAATCCCAGAACCAACATCGAGTGAAGCACTTAACAATGCTTAAGAAGTTATATTAGTATAAAGTTTGTACATAAAAGGGACCATCAACTTACATCTTGGGCAGTTTTCTGAGTATATAGCATCCCATATTCTTCTTGCTGATGGCCCTGTGTAACCCGTATGACGTTCGGGGTTCAGTTGCAGATTTACATATGTCATTTCACCTGTAGATTTTTCAAAATGTCAGTTAATGATGTTAATAGCAATAAAACTCAACTCCTATATCCTTCCGACTTGGTTAAATAAATATATACAGTTCATATCAAACTTGATATTTGGTATTACCATTGTCAGTTTCATCATCATGAGTCCATGGATTATCTATTTCTACCCAGCCTCTAAACGACTTAGCATCTAGAGTACGATCAACAGTAGCCTCCGGCTTTCCCTCTTGACATACAGGGTCATCTTTCGGAAGAATATGCAGAGAAGGCTTCTTAAAGGATTCAGGGAATTCATGGTCTGGACACTCACATACACTGCAATCACGAAGGCGGCACATACCATCATCAGGCCAGAAGGGGCAATCGCACCATAACTTAACCTGTCAGAGGTACAAGTACATCAGGATTATAAATAATTATATAAAAAGGGACCAAACATCTTCCAAATAAAGTAAAAACCTAAATAATGATATTCCTTGGGGACACATATCAGTCTTAGCCTCCGCATTTTTGGCAACTCATCACCTTGGGGACTCCATATTTTGGACACACGGAACTTGCTTGCGGCATCTCAACATAATTTCCGTACTTTCAAGGCTACACAAAATTTACATCCGATAATTTCACTCCCCACCAAGGCCCACCGCCATCCTAATCCTATGGCAACATCCTTGTGGATATCTTCCTCTAAGAAAACAACCCCCCAAGATGTTAAAATTCCATCTTTGATAATCAGTAAAGCATCTCATGTACATTACATCTTCAAGAATTTACTTACCTTGTCAATTTACATTTTGTATTAATTTGGTGTCTTAATCCTTCATTAAACTAAAGCGATTTACTTCTAACTACTTCGTTATAAACCAACTGATCCTTAAATCTCAACAGTTGGCACACCAAATATACATCATGGCGCCATGACATTTTTTAACTGATAAATACCACAACATTCATCAATATGCCCCTTAAAGAGTGGCGAACTACTACAGAAAAAAGGGGATGGCAATGGAAGATCTTTGTTATAGTCCTACTCTAGTTGCCAACGGTGAGTTTTACTCTCGTTTGCAAATGAGCGAACATTTTCTTTTCGAGAACCCACCACATTGCTCCCAATGTATGCTTGGCACATGCTTCAAGTAAAATATTTCAAATACAAAACCTGTAGCTTGTGCACCCTCAGTTTTTGGTTCACATAATAGGATGCATCTTATCTTAGCCGATATATATTGATGCAATCGGTGCACTATTATCGTTTGGAAGTTCCTATAACCTAACATTTAACTAAATGCTTGACAGAAACAGTTAATCAATTTGAAGCTTATCCTTTGCAGTAAAGAGCATTCCTACTCATTCATTTAAAAATTTGACAAAGTATAGAACACTTTTGACTTATCAAGCAGGACCAGAAAGTTGAAATCATCATTCCATACAGAAACCAAACTTGTACATATCCAAAACACCTGACAATCCAAAAGACACGTTCAATCAACTTTTTAAACTCAAACTACTTGCACAGTGATTAAAGAAAACATTAGGCCGATGATCTGTGAAAATAAACTGTTTATACCACTTCGGGAAGTATTGGGTCAAATAAGAGCAACAGATCACATTCAACTAATTCTGAAGCTTATAAGTTCTAACTACTCGGAAATTATTAGAAAAGAACAGTTAAAAATAGACAAACGTCGGAAATTAATCAGTATATAGCTATACTTTGTTATGTTATATCGAGAAAAACAAGACCTTGAAATATCGGAAGAAAGGAGTTGCAACAAGCTCTTGCAACAAGATATGTAAAACTGCTCCATTAACATCGTCAATGCTTTCGTAGTCGCAACAACAGTCCTCAACAATGCCTGTATATTTACATGTATCCTGCTCAACAAATGAAAAATAAAATAAGCCAATCAGTGAAGTCTATTACATTCAAGTTCTTCCTAACTTGTTAAGTAAACCCCATGTATAAGTACATATCATGTTGGTGCAAGTCTGCAATACAACATGCCTTTTATCGCAGACTAGCTAACACAAATGAAACCTATTTGAAATTTAAAAAAAAAAGAGATGAGTAAATTAAAGCTTAGGAACATGAATTGAATCCTTCAACATCATGGTCTTGAAAAGCATGTGAGGCGTACGCCTCGAGGCAAGGCGGCCTGAAATCGCACTTGCGGCAGGCTCTCAATAGTCAATCCCCAGACAAGACGTATGTGTTGGTTGTCTGAGGCGGTGAGGAGTACGCCTCACTACAGAGGCTAAATTATTTTCAAAAATGATCCAAACCTTCTCGATTTATTTTTTGAAAACCTTGTTCTTCTCTGGTTCTCCTAACCCTATTGCTACTCGTGTCAGTTCCAGTTTTCTCCCGTTTTCTTTGCGTTTTCTTCTTCGATTCTTCTCCAGTTCACCATAGTATTATGTATATCTATATACCGGATACACTTCTTTTATATTTAGTCTCTGCTACGTGTCATTGTTTGATATTTTGATATTTTTTTCTTTATGAACTGTGAGCATATTAATACACACATATATTATAAATAGATTAGTATTTTTTTTGTTACCATATCTATATTTTGTGATTGAAAAAAGAGTTGTAGATTCTTTTAGTAATTTAGTATGACATATATATTTGGTGTCTACTACTCAAGTGTGTGTGTATATATGTTGCATATATTTTCTGTGTATAAGCAGTGAATGCAGCTGGGTCATAAAGATATTATGTAGTGTGTATATATTGGTATATATATTTCCGCCTCGGGGTCTATGCCATGGACCACCTCGGGGATTACGCCTCACCTCATAAGGGAAAACTCCTCGAGGCCCAATTCCACTTTTTCAAAACCTTGTTCAACGTCTCCTATCTAAGCAAATTCCTAAAATATAAATTTTACCTTCAAATCTCTTTGCTACTGGTGTTCCCCTTACGCCTCCTAATGCCTTCCCTTAGAAACCGATGTTTTAAAAATCCTTGCTTAGGGCCATTTACATGGTCCCCAAGGCATGTAGTATCTCTAGGCACCACTTTGATTAGTTGGAGCAGCTTAATCTGCCTCATCAGAGAGAGGTCTCCATCACCTTGATTTTCAGTTAATCCTTGAAGCAAGTGTTTAAAAAATCAGGGATTGATTGATCTGAATTTCTATTAATCAATCTATTTTTGTCAACTACAGTCTACAAGGGATCTTTCTAATGCTTTCTAAGTAATGGCATCAAGGAACAATGAAACTAGTCTTTTAAAACTGTTAATTCTAGTATGTTTACATAAGTAATTATATTTTACATGTTCGCATGTAGTGGAGTGGTATTGTTACTTACTTCATTACCAAAAAAACAATTTGACAATGATGACTAACTTTGACACCAAGTGAAAGATAACTCTGGAATACTTTTTAGGTGCCTAATGTTTCATTGAGATTAGATCTACATCCATAAACATTTTAAGAAACCAAACAAAAGTAAACTAGAAACTGAAACTCAAATTATCCATTTTAGCAAACGCTTTTTTAGATAAATTGCTAAAAACATGCCTCCCTGATCACGGATATCCAAAGACCTAAATAGTGAAGAACCATACAATCTCGAGTTGTGTTTCACTAGATTCTCAAGTTTTCATTGATGGGAGTCACCCCAACTTTCACCGTGAACTTGCCATCCATCCTCATGGGCCACACATCCACCTTAAGATTTGAATTCTCAATACACTCATTCTATGCACATGATTTCTCATTAGGCCCAACATCATACCCCATAAATCATAACAAGCCTCACATCAGTCTTATAAAAGTTGCTCATCAACTTAAATGCGATTTTACAATCATGTCCCGCGTATTGCCACTTCAACCACCACGCTTGCATTCGACGACTAGCATTCTCATTAATCTCTAGGTCCTATATCGACCCTAAATACACTAAGATATTCTACTTATAGACACATGGTGTCCATCCATGATCATCACATCTTCATCCCAGATACCCACATCACTAGAGTTGCACCACATAATTTTGGCTTTAAACCCTTTCTTTCAAGCTTAATTCTATATAACTCTAGATTTGCATCCAAGCCTGACCAAGAGTCATATATCGGCAATCCACAAATTGGGAAGACACTACCATTACCCATACATGTTCTCACACTAGTTGCTAATCACATGAATCACATCAACATCCTTTCTAGGCACTTCTTCTCACGAGCCATCATTTAACCCTCCTTGGTACCTAATCACCGTATCACATGCCTTCTCCAGATTAATTAACACCATATGCAAATCATTTCTTGGTTCCCTACCCATGAGTTGTTGAATCAAGAATAGAGCCTCATACGCCGATCTTTCCATGGTTGTATAGGAAAAATATAGCTGACATAAAATTACTTCTAAATAAAATGCAACTAACCTGGTGAAATGAGTCTACTACTTTTCTAACACATCGTAATCACAGGAATTCCAAAAGTACACTAACAAGAAATCAATGTGTATCAGGTTCTAACGTCTAACTCCATTGCATAGCGCAAGCAGTTCATACTTCCACCACAATTTTTAATAGAAGAGCCGTATCCATAGTTACACACACATAGGGTTGATTCAAATAAGAAGTCTAAATATGGTGAGAAGGTAAAATGGGAAGGTTAATAGAAGATTCATAAGTGAATTCGTTAAAAAGCCAAAAAATTATATTTGAAGATAAATTTAGGTTCGGATTTTTTCAACGATACAGGTATAAACCTTACTTTAACCTTTCCTTCAAACCTTCTCATCATATTTAGTCTTCTTATATGTGATGTATGAAGTCTCATAACAAGTTCATAGATTTTACGCATTGCAACAGAAAATAACACGGTATATGGCATTAAAAAAATCAAGTTTAACTCGAACGAATTGCTTTCTTACATGCATGCCTGCCTGCACACACGCACACGTATAGAGAGAGAAAAACAATACCTCAGAACAGAGGTAGGGTTTATGGAGGAAGGAAATTGTGTGCGAATGCCACAAAGGATTGAGATATACGGCAACTAAAACTGCGATCACAGCTCCAACAACTCCCCACCGCCTCCACCTGTTGTTGTTGTTCCTTTTCTTATAACCGCCATTACCACCCGCGTTCTCTTTACCATCCATCTCCACCATCTCGAATCTAATAAACCTACAATTTCTCTCGAACAATTAGCGTATGCATGTGAAGAAATTATCCGAAATCATCGTCTCAATCGGCATTTACAAACCATTCCCTGCATTGAACCACGAATTTTTCTTCACTTTCCGTTAATTGATTTGTAACGCCGTCACCGACTACGATACAACACACAGATTCGAGAACAAGAAATCCGTGGGTATTGGTTCCGGAAGCGGCCATGGTCACGTTTTGATACACACGCGTCGCAATTCGCAAATTACGATGGACGCATTCTTGAAGGTGTACCAAATATTTGGGTACACACGTCAACACCAAATCCAATCCCACCTCTTTTTCAACAGTCAACACTCAACATGAGAGAGAGGCCCAGTTCATATTCTTCATGGGCTTCAAATCTGGGCTGAGAACATCTTTTTTCTTCTAATAAATATTTGAGTAAATTATGGTTTTCATCCTTGTGGTTTGCTAATAATTTTGATTTCAGTCCCTGTACTTGAGAATTGCGATTTTCGTCTATGGACTAATCTTTAATTTTAAGTACAAGGGACCAAAACAATAAAAATGTAAAACAATAAGGACCAAAACAACAATAACTTGTAATTCATAATAACGAAAATAACAATGAATTATAAACCACATGAACGAAAATTATAATTTTTTACAAACCATAAGAACGAAAAACATAATTTATTTTATTATTAATTACGAATTCAAAAAAATTATAAAAGAAATACAATACAAAATAAAAAGATGACGAAACAATATTCCGATATATTGTTTCGAGATGTTGTGAATTATTCTTCAATATAATTCTCATTCAGTTTGTTTGACCCGAAGACAAACTAATGGAGTTGCTCATGCATTAGCACATGCACCTCGGTTATCTTATTATCCCATCTCGTATTTTGATACGTCGAGTTTTTTGACTTGTTTCATTAATACAATATTTAGTTTATTTAAAAAAAAAAGTATTTGAAAATTAAAAAAAAAAAGCAAGATTTTTTTAAAATTAATTAAAACCACATATTTAATGATATGATTTGGTATATTTGAGATGAATACATTGCATCAGGGGACCAAACAATGGGTGGCTCCTCATGTCTAATTTGATTAGACTTATGATTGCAAACAAACATTATCAATGTTAATAATTCAAATAATCTTTAATCAAATATTTTATTAAATAATATAAATTCTAAAGCAAATGATAAATTACAAGTTTTATCATTTACCTGAGAACCTATAAAACTGTGATAACCTTAAAACTCAGTGCATTATATGCTATTTCACATGAATTTTTTATTCACGGTTTTGATTTAGTATATTGATTAATATATATATTTGTTTCACAATGTGAACATTTTTATCTGTTTGTGGAAAAAAAATACAACTATTTTAAAAAAGTTTCACATTGTGAATTCGAATCTAATACATATGAAACAAATATATTGTGAAATAAACGTATGATAATTAATATATTAACTTCTAACTTTAGATAGGAAAAAAAATCATGTAAAACAATATCTCACAATAATAGTTGTAACAATTACCATAATATATAAAATTATCAGATAATTAAACTCCTTATACAATTTTGGAAAAAAGATAGTGAACATATTAGATATTTTTTGATCAAAAAATCATTCTTTTTAATTCTTGGATAAATTGCATGAAAAAGTAACGTACTTTAACTTGATTCTTATTTTGGGTACTTGGATAGCTTACTTTAAGAACTTCTATTTTGGTACCTAAGATGTAAAGTTTTAAACATTTAAGTACTCATGTAACCGATTGAAGCATTAACCGGTTAAACATGTTGAAACATTAACCGCTTAGATTAGGATATTCATGTCAACAAATAATACTGAGTTGGATACCACATCACTCGCCACATCAGCAGGTAACCGGTTAATCCTTCAACGTTGTTACCCGAGTACTTAAATGTTTAAAACTTTACATCTTAAGTACCAAAATAGAAGCCTTAAAAGTACGTTACCCAAAATAAGAATGAAGTTAAAATACGTTACTTTTTTCATGCGATTTATCCTTAATTTTTATTTAAGAAAGATGTCATGTTTAGCATAAAACCTATATATAGAGTTTTGTATATATAATATGAATGGACCAATGATCGTGCCATGTCGTCTTCCACCAAATCTCAACTGTAGAAGACTTTGAATTAATCATGTCATATATTCCAACTTGGTTCCTTCCTTCCCTTTTATTAAATGCTCCGAAAATATGAGTCGTTTTGGGGAAAATCACGTTAAAATTTAGTAGCATCTTGAATAGATTTTTTTAAATTAATAATAAAAAATAAAAAATGTTAAATAAACTGTATTTAATTTTCAGAAACTTATTAATTATAGAGATTATAATATTAGTTATGTTATTATAAAATTAATCAATACAGTTAGTAATAAATATTAGAGTAGACTATAAATTTGGTCGCTACGGTTTATCAAAAATAACACGTTTTGTCTTTACGATTTCGAAATTACAAGATGTATGTCGTGTTTTGTAAAAAACATATGAATTCGGTCTCACCGTCTAACGATCATTAATAAACTCCGTTAAATGAGAGACATTTTTGTTTTTTATTATTTTTTGTCTATTACCTGCTCAAAGAAAATAGATAACAAAATCATAAAACCGATTTTGATTGGGTAAAAGACAAAAAAAAATTAGATAAAAGAACAAAAATGACTCTCATTTAACAGAATTTTTTAACAACCGTTAAAAAAATGGATCAAATCCGCTCGTTTTTACAAACCATGACGACCATTCTGTAATTTTGAAATTGCAGGAACAAAGAGAGTTATTTTAGACAAATTAAAGGGACCAAAATCATAGTTTACTCTAAATATTATCTATCTACGAAACATTAATTACAACAACAATAAAAAAATCATTTCTCTCACTCTCATCGATTGAGTAATTTTACCCGCTCTCCTCTATTTTCGCATTTTATACAGTCTCTTAGAGAGAAATAATTAAACTTATAACTTCTAAAATGATAAAAGTTTTAGTATCAATAATATTGTTTGTAACATATAGATAGAAAAGTAGATTTATAAGATTAAAATTGTATGTTATCAATAACTTTACACCATGATTTTAAGTTGGATTAGAAGTTATTGGGCTAGTATGTTACTTTTAGACTTGTGTACTACAAATGGTATCATAGCCGATCATTTTATCATTTGGACGACGGTGGGACAAATTTCATCGTACATGATGAGTTCTCTCAGCCTCGAGATTTTGGGGGGGGGGGGGAGGTTGTAACATCTTTAGTAGATCCGACATTGTCGATTACAGAGAGAAATAAATCTGGCAAGCCTGACAAGACATCAGGAGTTTTAGTGGGGATGAAGTTTATAACAACTTATCCCACATAAATAGACAAACAGATTTATGAACTCGTTATAAGCTACTAATAATTTCCACTGGAGTTTTAGTTGGATTAAAAGTTGTTGAGTTAGACCATGCTTTAAGTTTGGGGTGCTACATTGTTGAAATATCAGATTTTTTTTTATCTCAATTCAAATATTATGATTTGCATTGCATCGATATATGTAATCACACTCTTCTTTCATATTTTTTTATTATTATTGTACATTAAGTCATTTATAATCTTTTAGACGATACATGTTTATGATACATAAGAATGGTGATTTGCTCTGACCTGGTGGAGAACCCGACTCACCTAACCCAAACAGGGACTGGGATTCCCCGCTAAAACGGGTCTCGAGGCCGGGAGCCGGGGACTGTAATTCAAACCAGGGTTGGGCTCGAGGATCCTCATTAGACTCAAATGAACGGATATTCTTCATGGGGTTTGATTGGGGTTTGACCGGGATGGGATGTTAATCCCCATACCTGCCGGAGACCGGGGCCAGGGCCGAGGGCTGTTACTAAAAACCGGAGATTATAAAATCCGCCCTGTCCCCACCCTGTTCCATGCCTAATTAATGATACATGCTATCATAAGAGAAACCTTTTGCCTCCATTATCACCAAGATCCATGAACTACTCATGATAACATAATCCTAATTGGACATGATTTTGCTACCATTCTTATGAACATCAACACTCTCTCCCATTTGATACTTAAATTTAAACGTTAATAATTATAAAATATAATTGAAAACGATGTCATTTTTGGTAGGTCCCATCATTCTTGATTAAATAATTGTAGTATGGATCACGATCAATCTTCCAAACTCAATAATTAATTTTACGAAAATGGGATATTCAAGATTCAAATTTTCTTTTTTAAATCTTTTGAAAAAGTTAAATGCCAAAGATTTAAATTTTTATTATTTACCCATATTTTTATAGAGGTATAAAACGGGGTATTTTCGTCTTTTTCATATATTGATACCACATTTCTTAATTATCTCATTCATTTGTCATTTTGAAACATAAACTGGGCTCATAATTTATTTCTAAAATTTGAAATTTAAAATCTTCTTTTTCTACAAATAATTTATACCCAAATTACAAAACTGAATCTTACAATAAAAATAACATGTATGAACTTTAAACAAAAATCGTCATTTCATCTACAGACTTTGTGATTTCACCTATGAACTTTGGTATTAAAAAAAATTGGAACAACCAAAGTTCATAGATGAAACTATATTATGAACTTTAAACAAAAATATATGTTACACTTGTGAACTTTGTTTAAACAATCTTAATTATCTCATTCACTTTCTGGTTTCATCTATGAATTTTGGTAAAAAGAAATTGGAACAACCAAAATTCATATATAAAAAAAAAAGAATTTAATTCCAAAAAAATATCTGGAATTAAAGAATACATGAAAATGAAAATGAATTTAAGGTACAAACGAAAGAAATATAATTCCACAAAAACGAATCTATTTTTCAAAAATAAAACACAATTTGTTCAAAAATTACCTTTCATTTTCATTTTTTTTATTTTTGACAAATTGTATGAGAAAAGTTCGTACTTTAACTTGATTCTTATTTTAAGTAACGCATTTTCAGAACTTCTATTTTGGTATTTAAGATGTAAAATTTTAAACATTAAGTATCCGGATAACCGGTTGAATCATTAATCGATTATCATACTAATGTGCCGAGTGATGTGATATCTAATTAAGTATTATTTGTTGACGTGCCATTTATTTTTTCATCAATTTATAGCTTTTAATTTAAGCATAATTGTTGATAAAAACAATGAACAACTCAGATTTTAAATGATTATTTCTCTATGGTTATATTAGTAATTTATTAAAAATTTTGTTAAAAACGAAAATTGGAAAATGAAAGAGACGTCTAGACATGCAATTTGATCATGTGCAATTGGCCGGTTGGGGAAATTATTTTAATTTTTAGTGTGAATTATTAGGCATTAATTGGGTGAATTATAAGTGTGAATAATATATTTAATAATCTTTAATTGTTGAATTTTTTTTATTTGTTGAAAAAACCGACATTGCAGGCCCACTGTTGCCCACGTGGCAGACCGCACCATTTAACTTCCATCCAGTGGCTTTCCAAATATTCCAAGTTGAAAATGATTTAACCAAAATTGTTTATTCCAGATTATTATAATATATATAGAGTAAACTACAATTTTGGTCCCTGTGGTCTACATGAATCATTGAAAGTAGTCCCTAGACTTTATTAACTACAATTATCGTTCTTACTGTTTACATTTTGCATTGAAAATTGTCCCTTAACTTAACTTTGTTAATTTGTTTTCGTTAAGTTAGGGGTAATTTCATATTTTTATTTTTATAGGGACCAGTCATACAATTTTGTTTACACTATAGGGTCTGAATCATGATTTACTATGCTTTATATTGTATTATACTAATATATATGTATGTATATATACATCGACACTGTTGCACCAAGAAGACATTGTCGGCGACCATAACACCGTCTTCGGCGACCATCGGCCATTGAACCACCCACCTGTGAGTGCCTCTGTTAATTTGTTTTCGTTAAGTTCGGGGTATTTTCGTCTTTTTACTTTTATAGGAACAAGTTGAACAATTTTGTTTAAACTATAGGGTCCGAATCATAATTTACTACACTTTATTTTGTAGTATACTAATATATATGTATGTATATATACATCGACATTGTTGCACCAAGACGCCATTGTCGACGACCATAACACCGTCTCCGACGACCATCGACCACTGAATCACCCACCTGTGAGCGTCGTGAACCATCATTCTCTCTCTCTGTTTGTGGTTTCATTTGCATCACCCCACTCCCCTTTCCATCTTTGTCCCGACACACATACACACACACATACTGTGGTCTCCAAGACGTCATCTCTGGCGACAGATGAGGACGCCATCTTCGGTGACCATGACCACTATCGTTTACCATATTGACGGTCCTCCCACACTACCGATGCTCCTCCCCGGTTACCGCCCCTTCCCAGGTCCACATTCGTCCCTAACTGAATCAACAAATGAGAAGTACTGGCATCACCCAGTTCTCCCTGTAACCGACCCCCTCTTACTACCCATCCCCGCTATTGACCACCATCTATATCGACACTCCGCTCGATCTCCCTCTCAAACACACTCATCGATCACCAACCTCATCCCCTTTCTAGAAAGAAAAAAAACCCTTCTTGTTTCCCTTCCTCTGTCGATTTTAGAAAACACAACCGATCTCTCTTCCTCTCTGTCTTTGATTTTTGTTTTAATTGGGTTTTTATCTTTGTTTTAGGTTGGGTTTTTATTAGTTTCAGATCTGGTTTTTAGGTTTGGTTTTGATTTAGGCTAGGCAAAATGACCAGATGAGGTCACCGGATTGGTAAGTGCCGAAGAAGGCCACCGGTTGTTGATCCCTGTAGTGGCTGGAGGTGAAGAATGCTCACGGGTGGAAAACAAGAATAAGTCAAAAACAAGAAGAAAAAAAAAGGACAAAAAGGTGAAAAAAAGACAAAACTACCCTTACTTAATTGAGTTTTGTAACAAAGTTAGTGATCATAGACGATTTTCAAAGCAAAATATAAACTGTAGGGACGATAATTGTAGTTATTGAAGTTTAGGAACCATTTTCAAAAATTCATATAAATCATAGAGACACAAAACTATAATTTACTCTATAATATATATATATATATATATATATATATATTTAAGATGAAAATTAAATGTAATTTATTTGGTGGTATATCTCACTTGATTACAGTTTGTTTTTATCAAACGATATTGTATCTTGTTATTTATTCTTTTTATTTTGATTTCTATTTAAGCATGTCAATCATTTAAAATTTCAAGATAATTAAATTAGTGAAATAAAATATTTTGTTTATTCAACTTTATCTAAATTATCTTTTAATTAAGGTAGTTTAAAATACAGATTTTGTTTAATGTGAAATAATTAAATTACCTTAATTAGCTCATTCACTTTGTTAATCTCTGTTTCTATAAACTTTGTTTCATTCATATTTATCTATAATGTCATTTAATTAAAAATTTAAGTCAAAAAAATTTAAAATTATAATATTAATTTTATAATTTATTCCTTGATTTGTGATTGAGATATGATCTCATGGTTATCATAAATTACTAAGTTTTCCCTTAAATGATCGATATATGTGTGTGTGTGTGTATATATATATATAATTTGTGACATTTTATAAGACAACCAAACATAATAATAATAAAATATCAATTATCGGTTTTATTACATTGTATTTATTATTACACGGTTTTATCGTATTCAAAGGATATCTCAAATTATATTCATTAGAAATTGATGTGACGAGGCTTGATCCAAGGCACTGACATATATAACGATATAAGGATTTGTTTGGTTGCATATGTGTGGAATGACTCATAGGTGGTTTATGATTCAATCAGAGGTAGATGTAGTTATTTATGGACTTGGGTCAGGCATGAGTCAACCCTGTTATAAACTAATTGTGAAGTAAGAACATTGGATTATAAATAACTTAGAATGAAATGTGACTTCTTGATAACCAAGATTGAATGACCACGAAGATAAGTCGATCAGATTCTTTCATTCGGATGAAGAATAATCAGATCAAATATTTGATCTCACATTTAATCTGTCAGTGTCCCCCAACAGAGTGCTTTCACCCTTGGTGTTCTTTTCGATCTCTATGTATTTCATCGCTTCACTGGAAATTCCCTCTGCCCCTAATGTATTCCAACTTGGTAGCTTCCACCACATGTCCAGAGTTGAGCCCTGGGATTTGAAAGCAGACTTAAAAAGATGTATCAGATGGTGTCACTGAGATTTGAAGCTTTTGTACGTATCAAACTTCTAAGATTTGGATGTTAATCCATATGCGTCATATCCGATTAATGTTGTATATCGGATTGAGTATTACAAGGAAAGTGATAGAATTTTTTTTCTAAGTGTATAATCAGATGCTAGTTTTATTATTTACAAATCTAATGGTTGAGACCAACAAACAACAACCTTTCATCTACTCTCCCCCAGTCTCATTCCTTGCGTACTATTACTTTTTATCATGTTGACACTTTACCTTGGAAGAGACACAACAAAGAAAAGATACGGGTGTTCAAGGTTGGTGTTTTACTCTTTATATAAAGAGATCTAAATGTTAATTAATGTATAAATGGATAAAATCATCTGATTGTCCATAAAAGATGATTATATCCATAACCAAAATGATTGTCTATGATTTGGTTTCCCGTGCCTTTATTATAGGCTTTCAATAAGTTGAAATGAAACACGTATCTCAAAGTTATTAAGCTACTCCCAACATTGATGATCTGATAGAGAACGAAAGCTAGAACACGAACATGAGCACATTCTAGAAATAAATGTTGGTGGGTTCTATTTGGTTTGAATTGAAGGTCACTTAATGTACGATTTGGTATGCTAAATTGGTGGTTCTGATGTAATAACGTGGCTACCACACCTACCATTTGGTCAACCAAATAGCTAAATGTTCACGGAAGACAACTTCCAAAGGGTAGACGTGTAAAGTACCCTTCCCGATCATGTGTCGATGTCCTTACAGTTAAGCAAACCATAGACTATCTGATTGTGATATTTGTTTGTCAAATAATATTCAAGTCCAACCAATTCAGAGTTCGTCTCTGGATCATGCACGCTATCTAGATACACCCTAGTTAAAAAGTAAATTACGTCACACTGGCTTATAGAGAAAAAGTACTATAATCCCAATAAGAATGTCAACACTAATAAAATGTATCGAGATGGACTAGATCAATTCTCTTATAAAACACAATAATTAAAGATTCAAATCTCTTATTACGCTTCTCATCATGACTTAACTTCCGAACTCGTAAAACAATAAATTATAATGATTGTAAAGCTGTGGGTTGTTACTTAGTTTGGTGGGTTCCGTTTGGTCGGTTATTATAAGGTATAATTTGGTATTTATATGATAAGTGAAAATCACGAGGTTACCATTTGGTCAACCAAACTCCACCTTCTTTCTTCTGCTTCTACAGTTGGGAGGTCAACCAGACCACACACGTTACCTCCATTAAAATACTACTCACTGCTGCTTCCCTTTATTTTCTATAAGTAAACCCTCACCATCTCCTCCACTTTCCTCACTTCACCACCATGGAAGACGATATGATCCTCTGCCCTCAAGATTCCGATCTTGATCTCAGTTTCACAAGCTCCACCTCCATTGCCACCACCAGTGCTCGCTCCAGTCTAGCTCGTTCTAGCTTGTGCCTTAGTTTCAATGATTCCAGTCGAATCTCTTCCGCCGCATCTTCCACCGCCGTCCCTAACCTCCACCCTCGCCCTCATCGCAAATCTGATGCCAATTGGTCTGCTATACGAGCCGCTACTAACCTCTCCTCCGATGGCACTCTCCATCTCCGCCATCTCAAGCTGGTTCGCCATGTTGGATCTGGAAATCTCGGCCGAGTGTTCCTTTGCCGTCTCCGTGATTACGATCACGCGAGTTTTGCTCTGAAAGTTGTTGATAACAACGCACTCACGTCGAAGAAGCTGTCACATGTGCAAATGGAGGCTCGGATCCTGTCGTCGCTTGACCACCCGTTCCTTCCTACGCTCTACGCTCATTTGGAAGTCTCTCATTACACTTGCTTCCTGATTGATTTCTGTCCCAACGGAGATCTGCATTCCTTGCTCCGCAAGCAACCTAATTACCGATTACCGATCGATTCCGTTAGGTTCTTCGCTGCCGAGGTTTTGGTGGCTCTCGAATATCTCCACTCGTTAGGGATCGTGTACCGTGATTTGAAGCCGGAAAACATTTTGATCCGTGAAGACGGTCACATTATGTTGTCGGATTTTGATTTGTGTTTCAATGCCGACGTTGTACCGAAACTGGATAACAGAATCCAAGGGACGACGTCGTCGTCAAGCGGGAAACACCGGAGTCGTTGCTACGGTGGGAACCGGCGCCGGAGACGTACGGATGAAGAAATTGTGACGGAGTTTGTAGCGGAGCCGACGACGGCCTACTCGAGATCGTGCGTCGGAACTCACGAGTATTTGGCTCCAGAGTTGATAACCGGCAATGGTCACGGCAGCGGTGTCGACTGGTGGGCGTTCGGAGTGTTGGTTTACGAATTACTGTACGGAAGGACACCGTTTAAGGGAGGTTGTAAAGAGTCAACCCTGCGCAATATTGCATCGAGCACTGAAGTAAGGTTTGATGAAGAGAGCACAAGAGGTATGGCGCAGGCTAAGGATTTGATAGAGAAGTTGCTGGTTAAAGATACAAGGGAGCGGCTAGGATGCGCCAGGGGTGCGACGGATATCAAACGGCACCCGTTCTTCGACGGCATCAAGTGGCCGTTAATCCGGATGTACCGGCCGCCGGAGGTACGGGGGCTGGCGGTGAAGAAGAATAGTAGGGCGCACGTTAGTCACGTGAGCGGGTGGTCATCGTCCCACAAGAAAAGGCGTTGGTTATGGAAGGGTCTTAGTTGTATATTTCTGAAAAATAAGGGGTCTAAACGAAACTTAAATTCCAACCACAATTATTACCATTACAAAAAATAGTTTCAAAAGTACGGTTAGGAAATAGACTTAAGGTTTGTAAAGTTAGAGGGTGCAAAATGGAAATATTAATTTTGCTTCGGGGGTTAAGCTGTTCTTTTGTAAACAACAGGGGTTTTACTTGTATTTTCTCATAGATTATACACACATGTATTAGACTTATAGCTTGTTAACAATACATTTTTCATGATATATTTAGATATACAAAATGAGATTTTAATTAAATATATATGAAATAAAATTTTAAACAGGAATTTATTGATTTAGTTAGAATTTTATTTAAAGTTATATTCTCAAATGATTCATATTTTATATTTTTACGTAAATAACAACATATTTATTTTATATCAACAATTAACCAAAAACATGGTAGGTGTTAATGTCGAATCGATTGCCAACATGTATGTTGACGTCTCGTTGATTTGGGTTCGTATGCCAACAAATATGACTAGACAAAGATATTTCCAGTAACTTATTATTTAAAATAAAATAAAAATAAAAATTATTGAAACTATATGTGAATAAAAATATCTTGTTTAGAATACAAGTCTGTAAACTAGAATATAAAATATTTTCATGTATTTCTTATTTTTTTTAATTATATTTTTTTAAATTAATATTTTTTTAAATTATAGCAATCATTTATTTCCTTAATTTTCATTTATATATAATGCATGTATTTGTATAACATTATGAGTTCGATATTTAAATTCAAGTAAATAAAATATAATTTTTTTAAAAATATTCAATATAATTGCCATTGTTGAAGTTTCATGTTTGCAATACAATTAAAAGGATATGGGTCTAAAAATTTAGCAATTTTATTTTTAATTCTTTAAAGTCTTTTATTTGTATTTTTTTTTAAATTAAGGATATTCACAAAAATAATTTTTTAAATAAATTTTTTTTATGAGAAGACAGTTCAAGAGGAATAGAAAGTTTTATCTGCTTCATTTCTTTATAATCAGTGTGCTGATAAAATTCTCAATAACTTTATAAAGCTCTAAAGTGTTTGCTTAGAATTTGAACCGCATACTTATAATTATATTACTAAAATATTTTATAAATTTATCATCGTTGGTGGAAAAGAATTAAAAAAACTCATTTCTCATTTCACACATTAAAATTTAGAGAATTTTCTAAATTTCATTTTTTTTAATCTCCTCTCTCTTCTTTTCTCAATTTTAGAGAACCATTTAAACCAGAGACGTTATTCAATAGCTATTTTGCTTCAATTTATTCGAATCGATAACCTATGTATTGTGTATAAAGTAAGAACCCGAAACCAACACAGTTGGGTAGGTAGAGAATACTTAGGGGCATTTTCTTGTGATGGGCCCAGAGAGGGGGGGGGGGGCATGTCAAATGAGATTTTGAGAAGAGTCACAGTACGATGAAAGTTCCTATAAAAATGAAAAATGCCCTACCTTTGAGTGCGGTTAGGATCAAAACCCTCCACACCCCACGGGGGATTTACAGATTGACATAGCCATGAGGCGCACAACGGACCTTTTAAAGAGAATATTTTTGGTGTAGAAAGTCTCAAATTGATTGTTCGATCCTCTTATATTTTCTCGAACCGAGAGATCTATGAATTGTTCAGTATCATCAAACAATGTGTTTTATCTATTTTAGAATATTTATTATAGAGTTAACTTAAATCAAATACCGTACTTTACATGGTAATAACAAATTGGACGTTGTCGTTTCTTCTACGACTCTTTGATTTGAAAAATAATATTTACGACAATATTTATAAACAGAAGGATCCCACAGACAAGAAGAGTAAAGAAGAAAGCGACTCCCTATTTGACCATTAGATAATTAAGTACATTCACGACAATAATCAACAACAATCTTGTCATGTTTTCCATTTTAAGAAAACAGGTTTATTTATGAAGAGAACAATATTCAAAATTCAGGTAATTATGATTAATAAATACTTTATATTTTATCTGATTACTTCTTTAAGTTTATTTAAAACCCAAAACTATCTAATAAAAATATATTATCACAAAAAGGAATCAAATAAATTCACTTGTGTACGCAAACTATCTATTTTAGACGACATACGTGTTTCATAAACTGTAAGATACGTGTATTTCACTTTAAATAAATATATATTTAATTTTGATACATCTACAAAGTCAAAATATTTTTTTAATTTAAGTCAAAATATATTAATAAAAATAATATATATATATATATATATATATATATTATAAAATCAAAAATATGTATTTTAATAATATGAATAGCATGTAAGTACATGAATGTGTATCAAATACAACTCACAATGTTATCAATCATGAGCTTTCGTCACATAATTCTCTTATGATCACAAGTCACCAACAAACCAACTTCAACAATTAAACCTAACAATCCTAAACTATTTCCATATTCTAAATTTATGAAGAAATCAATGATTTTTACGATATTTTTCTGACATAAATTTCTTATCTGAATAAGAACGTGTTAATAATTTTGAGGATCTGTTATATTTAAAGCTTTTGATTACATTGTAAAATGACGTAACAAAGCTATATATATGTTAAGCACATAAAAAGGATAAACATAAATAAATACCAATCTAATTATCTGGATATAATTTTTCTATTTAATTAAATTATACGATATAATCATTGATATCATTATTACTCTCACCATCGAAATGTCATTGAGTCCTTTTTACGGACAGCACATACATAAAGACCCGCCATGAATCTCAAAGTGATGCATTTATTGTATAATTAATTTTTTTCTTTTCAAGTTTTTCTATCTCCCGTCGGTCTACTTTCTTTAGTCGTTCACTAGTTTCACTTGTCCTCAAGGCCTCAAAATAACCATTCGAGTGCATTTGGTATACAAATGAAACAAACGAGATTGAGGTGGACACGTTAAGGAATTGTGCACAGTTTTAGGGTTTTAATTGACTTGGGTAGTTGAGTAGTTAATTCCATCAATTTTGGTGGGACGAAAAATGCAAATTTGTCTTAATAACCGTTTACCAAACGCTTACTAAGTAAACATTTATCAAGTGTCACTTACCTTACCGGATGAACATAACAAGAACTAGGGGTGCTCGAAAACCCGAACAAACCAATGCAAAATAACCCAATCCGAAACAAACCAATATCTAATTGTCGTAAAATATTCAAACCGTAAGTATTATGTTCGAATTGAGTTACAATCATTTAAACCCAATCCATCCCGATGAACTCGATATCCTTTTATTTTTTGGATTTAATACGATTGTTAAGTCCCTATTTATATGTACATTAATTACACCATCACGTACCATCTTTATATACATATATTTTCAATCTCTTCTCCATCTCTATATAACTTCTTCGTATATAGGTTTACTAAAATGAGAACATATATATGCAAATTGAGAAAGTAGTTGAATGTGATATACTTAAGGTATAAAGATTATGGATAACTTGTACCAAATGATTGTTGATGAAAAATGAATTATCAGTAAAGGTTAGAAGAATACTTTGATATACCAAGGTATCAACTCGACCAACCCGTACGGTTTGAATTGGCTTAGGTTGGAAATTTTCAAACAGCAAACATCCAGTTGGGTTGTTCAAATGCGTTCAACCCAACCCATGAGCAACCCTAGCAAGAACAGAGAATTTTACTTAATAAGAGGCATAGCAAAAACAAAAATCTTACCTAATAAGTGAGGGTCTGTCAGGTAAAACATTGCTTATCAACAATCCATTTTGACTGCCGAGAATATTACCTGATAATAAGTGAGGAAGCTAACTCTTGTTGATAAGCTCTTACCTGATAAGTGTACGATAAACGACCTTTTCTCGGCCATTTCACGTATTGGTCTGCACCACACATGTGACAAGTTTTTTCGTGTTCCGTCTTAACCCACGTACAACACACCAAAACTATTGCTATAATGAGAATATTACATATTTATGACATAAAAGAATCCAAAGAAATGGCATAGTGACTGCTAATACACTAAATATATGTGTCAAAAAGGGTTATTTTACAGAAAGAATATATATGTTTTTTTTTTCTCATCAGGTTCTAATAAACTAACTGCTACACAAGCGTCACTCAATAACTTGTTTCCTTTCAAAATTATAATCCATCAAACTCTACTAAAAAAGAAACAAAATTTACCATTAGAAAACCGGTCTTTCAACGCACTATATGCCTCGTAAAAATACATACAGATGCGTCCCATCTCGAGCCCGAATTCTTCAAGAGACTGCAAAAAACACTTGAACATGAAGATGATGAACAAGATTGTAGCAATAACTGCTAACAGCGATATTAAAATAAAAGTGAGTACCATTCTTTCATGGATCAATCGGTATATGGTTTCTCTTGGCTAAATGCTCTGATTCGTTTGATAAGATTGGTTTTCAACGACTCAGGAAGTCGTGAAATTAGATTAGCCTTCGCATCAGCTATCAATTTCCTCCTGCATATTGCAGCAACCGCAATTAGAGTTGATATCTTTCACAAATCCAAGTGACGAGAAGCATTAAATCACATTACTATACAAGCAGAAAACCGCTCTTGGTTTCAATTGATGACACGAGATGCGCATCATCCTCCTTTAGTTGTAAGTTAATGGGGTATACATTATTGCATTTAAAGAAAAAAAGGGTTAACATTTAACTATAAACAGAACTACATAAAACAATGTTGTTAACTGGTTTACGATGAAACTAGAATTAAGTTCCTATTGATTTCGAGAAATGGCATGTTAGACCAACTGAACACCACTATGATGTACTTCACGACATAGAACAAGAAATGACAGGAGCTTTGAAACAACAATTGTTTACATCTGTGGAATCATGGCAGTTTTCTCTTGAGTGAGGGAGGATGAAAGGTTTATCAAGTCTCCACTCTAAAAATTACAATATCCACAATGTCAGTTAAGTTACTTCGATGCTATTAGAGTCGCATTCCGCATCTCAAAGGGAGCCCTCGTTCTCTAGGCACAGACTATATTTAAATAAAGAGCTTGATTTGCTTAAAGAACCAATTACTATATATGTGTGTGTAGAGGGAGGTTTAGGGAAAAACCTCTAAGAAAATGAAAAACTGAGAAACATTCTGGTAACCATTTATCTGGACAGTATGCATATGTACATACAAATAATTGAAGTTGTTTCTTGGTTTTTATGCACGGGTGCATGTGATGTGCATACCAGAAAAATTGCTTACAATTTTCTTGTATGCAACATGTGTATACTGTCCATATGAACGAGTGATAAGGTGTTCCTCAGTAAGACTGCACTTGGATCGGGTTGGCCGGGTTGAAGGCATTTGAACAACCTAACCCAATGTTAGCAGTTTGAAAAATCTTAACCCAACCCAACCCAAACCGTGCAGGTTGGTTGGGTTGAAACTTTGCTATATCATTTTATAATCTAGCTAAGTGTTTTTGTTTAAACGAAGTAAATAAAAAATGATAACATACAAAAAAGACCAACTCAAAAAGGAAAGTTAAAGGTTCATGCAAATAAGAAAGTAAAATTACGGTTGATATTGTAATATAATTTTGAATATAGCTAATTATGGATTGGTCCAACGTCTAATATATATATATATATATATATATATATATATATATGTTAATCAAGGACTTCAAATTATATTAAATCTATAGTACAAAAGTGCATCGGGTTCATCGGGTTGGGTTCAAATAATCATAACCCAATAGATGCGGGTTGGCCTAATTTTGTATCAACTATGTGTCAGGTTACCTCGCGTTGAGTTTTTTTAGGTTGGGATGACCGGTATTTTGAGCACCCCTAATCCTCAGTATTTCATTTTTTACGGTTTTCCCTACACCTAACCCTATGTATGTATAGGGGCAAGTTAAAGAAGAATCTAAACATTTTGCGAGAATGCGAGAAGTTTTAGCATCATATATGATTACATGCATAATGCACAAGCTTAATTGTATATGCTAAAACATGTTGCATTGACAACACATAGACGCTTAATCATATATAATTAAACACACCCAAAAGAGTTAACCATATATTATATTGAAACTTTCGACTTCTCGCATGATCCTTCCTCTGTCTCTCTGTCTCTCTCTCTCTCTCTCTCTATATATATATATAGAGAGAGAGAGGTGGTTGATTTTACAACCCATTCCATTTGCACAACCAATGCAACCTCATCTAACCATCAACTAGTTCATCTATGGTCAGCATCCGATGAGGTGGAAAAGGTAATTATAGATTATCAATTTGATAAAACTGAAAAGTTAAAATAAAATAGACTGTTTAGATCAGGGTTGTATTGGTTGTACAAATAGGATAGCTATATTTAAAACGTGTTCTATGTGTGTGTGTGTGTGTGTATTTGATATTTCACTTTGATATGGAAATGTAACAAAGGCCTTATCTTTAAGGCATGCACTTGATCATAATCATATTTTTATTCCTCAAGTAACAAGAGTTTGCTAGCCTAACATAACAAAATATGACACTTAGAAGTATCAACAATATATATAAGCATGCACCCCAAAAACATATACTCCCTTTGTCCCAACAAAAAATACAATATTTGACTTGACACGTTTAAGATAACAATCCCTTCATAATGACAAAATAAATAAAGATTATGAACCACAATAAAAGTAGCTAACTTAGAGTAGGAAAAAATAAGTAGATTTACATATCATTACAATAGTTGTAGAAGAAAGAAAAAGAACAAAAAAGGGAGTAGTTTCAGGTGTGTGCAGGGTGTAGATGTCCCACCCATTAATCATGATATAATATGATTCAATTATTTCTAAACAAATTTCAAGAAACAACCAGAGAATCATCTTAAGAACACTTGTATAGAAAGAAAAGCAAAATTAGCTTTCGAGTTATTTTAAAATAAAGAAAACTCAAAGCCCAATGGTTTCCATTTATAGAAATTTGACAAAATACAAGTATTTCCTTTAAGAGAGAACAAATTTTTATTTGTTGAAGTTAGTTGATTTTTAACAGGGGATAATTCAAAGTTCACATGCAATTGTTTAAAGTAAATGTCCATCAAAATAAAGTTATCCAGGTATACGAGGCTATTGGTTTCAAAGCGGGACCAAACCGTGGCTAGTCCATTAGGTTCTCCACCCCAAGCTCTTGGTTCAAATATTATATAGAACGGATACCCTCTGCCCTTATAAAAAGGCAATCAAACGATGCATGCAATGCATGTTTGCCTGTCGAACAAGATTCTGTATTCAAGCACACCTAGGCATCATCTTATTCTTTGACAAATAGGCCATTAACAGGCACACTATTGAACAGCACACTCACTTCAGTAGAGGCAAATCCCCGGGTGAGGTCCTCACTCAATTTTGGCCTTCAGGATATGTCTTTTAACAACACTGGGCCATTTACCTTTTAAGTTTCATATATACCCTTGGGGATTTGCAGAGGGTTAAAGGGGTAAATACAAGAAAAGGTTTAGATTACACCAATAGATTCACAAGCAAGTGAGCAACTCCTACTTCTAACTTAGAATCATGAAAGCATAAACTAACATCTCTAACTGTGCTTAAAATGTTTCTGAACAGTCAATAATCACGTAGAAATGACCTCTCACTCTACTTACTGCAGCCCAGGAATAAAATCGTTGTGGAATAGTCAAATAAGAACCACAAAAAGTTTGGGAACCCTGAGAACCAGTAATCATGGGTTCTTTCACATCGTGAAACAATGTAGTGTTGTTTCACAAGACGATTATTTCTAATGTGTATTTTTTGTTTCGCATTGCGGAACAACATTGTACTTTTCACATGCATTGTTTCACAATCACGTGATCAATGGTTCTCAACCTTTTGTGGTTCTCATTTGATTATGCCCTTATATATATGTAAATAGACAAAGAATCGTGTGAGAATAGGAGCTAACGCGAGTAGCCTAAGAAGGGATCTGGACCATTGATCACTTTTAATCTCACCCCCATCCCATGAATTGTGTTTCTTATGGGAATTGCTGGTGCATCTAGGTGCACACGATCCGCGTTGATCTTCAATTAGGATTGATCCAAGGGTGGAGATCCCTTCTCACTCTTCTCACCACCACTTCAATTCTCACCGGAACTCAACCCTATATATATATATATATATATATATAACTTAGTAAATAACATTACCATTGATGGCGAATGTGAGCTTATTCTCTAGATTCTAGAATCCTTGCCACAGAGAATTCACTGGTAGTGATTGAAATTTCATGGAGTCGGATTGCATGGAAAACTAAAGATCGTTACTACAATTGAGAAGGTGAAAAAATAGGGATAAACCCAACTGGGTCAACAGATCAGTTCATTCAGAAAATTCCCAACATCTTTTTAGTTTTCTGAGAGGAGTTCAAGTAACTTGATGGTCATTTGGGTACCAAAAAGAACACTAAGAATATCTTTTTAAAGCACCACTGACTCTCAGAACCTTCATACTCCGTTAGATCATGTAATCATTTTAATGACAAATCAGAACAGAATAACTTTATACCACGGGCATAAAAAGCTAGACTGGAATGTGATAACAACCAAAGGAAGACATAAAAAAGATAAAGAGATTTTACGACAGTTGACTGCCACTTGAGAAAATAACTTCCAATCATAAGGCCTATAAGTGCATCAATCATGGAACTGAGAGCCTATAGCATCAGATGAAAATATAAACTAACAAATTATACATCTGATTCTTAAGTCAAATATATTGCAGGGGAAGACGTGTAAGCAAGGGAAAAGAAAAAAAGCTCCATTATGTAATACACGAGTCAAGAGAGAGACTTACTTAAGTTCATTCCTCTGTAATGCATCATCGCCTGCATCTCGAGCGCACAGCTTCTTGGCACGCATGAAACTTTGAACCTCATCTGTCCAACCACAATTTCGCAAAAAGGAAGAAGCTTCTTTCCCAAGACTGAGACATGCCAAGAAAGACATAATTCCAAAAAATTATTATGATAATCCAAATACACTGAACCACCATCTAAAGTTCCATGTAAACATGAATTCTAAGACAAAAAACTACATATATCAGGAAGCACAGTCAATACTGCAGAAGAAAACAAAATAGTCTACGCTAACCATATATATCACATGAAAATATTAGCAACTTGAGATAGACTTATGCTACCATAACAATTTAGGGTATAAAGTCGTATACAATATGAACCACCAGACCAAGAATACGAGAAAATATAATGGAAAGAAAACCCTAACCTTTCATATTTAATATGTTCGTCTATAATCTATATACACACACAGGTACAACCATTAAATTAAGTGAGCCACTAAATATACCCATCATCTCTCATCACATTGAAGCATAAATATCTATCATTCCCAACTTGCTATAAATGGAACCAGCATATGATTGTGGACAAGGACACACCGACTTCTATATCCTTGCTTCTTTTGTGAAGGTTCTTGTTCTCGGCCACTTGGCTATATGAATTACAATCACAAAATAGTCCCATCCAATGTTCAATAGCATTAGATGGAGCTAGACATTCAAGTAACCTTCTAGAGCTGAATCGCCTAAGCAGGGAATAAGTACACTATTAAGCAAAAGCGTAACCGGTTTATTTAAATATAAATAATACAATTATTTTTAGATAATGAAACATATGAGAACTAAACTTTGATACTCTACTATTTTGATACAGTTTCATTGTACCACTTATGCAATTACTCAAAAAATATTGAGAAGATTCCCTTCAACTACACTTCATTGAATAATCAATTGCTAATCAAAGTGGTGAGAGGCACTTAAGTCCTAGACCGCCGATTTAGAGGCACTACCTAATCGGCACTGTGGGGACAACTGAACGCGGAGACAGCCGCGAAAGTGGCCCTAGGCCGCGTTTTATAACACTTGCCTCGTCAGTTTATGTGTGCAAGTGCATAAATCATGGAGAAGTTGTTTAATCCACCAAAACACTCCACATGTAACATAATTCATAGCCCAGCTTCCAGATTCTTCACTGAAGTGATGAACAATACGTCATTTATTGCACATGAGAGTAGGCCGCCACCTACAAATACGTAATATCTGTCAAGACTAGTTAATCAAAGAGTGCACCTAGTCTATATCCCAAAAACCTACAGCCTAACTCCTCCGTGAACACTCCTACGTTGCGGTGCTTAGGATTTAAGTACGGAAACCTCCCTCTGGAGTGCCTGAGATAACCCAAGCTACACAATATAGCATTCCACTGTCTAGAGCAGCAAAAGTAGACTCGCTGACCACAGTCACCACACTCCTCGACTGATATTTTGATCCACATTTCAGGTTCGAACCAGAATGATGTCTTTGATCCTACCTCCTTACAACATGAATAGAAGGAAACATTATGAAATCGTTTGGTAACTTTTCCAATAGAAATAAGAGTTGAGGCAAAGTCGAAAAATGTTAAATTCATGATGGTAAATCACGAAATTATTTATTGATTCGGCGTCAATGGCTATTTATCAGGGGCTTGTAGGAAAGGCTTGATGTGCCAGTATAGCAGTAATACCTATTATGTTATCAAAAGCACCAAAGTCAACACTTCACAACCGTGTGCATGCAGTAAGCTAGATACAAAACTCATCTCAATGTGGTTTCAGGAGTAGACCGCACTTATGAAGAGAGGAAATACTGAAAAAAGTGCAATAACTCACATGGTTATGCTCCAAAATAACACTTGTAGCATAAAAAATGTTATAGGGAAGATTCCAACAAAGAAAAGATCATAACAATGACAACAAAAACATATGGTTGAAATAACGAGGTGAAGCAAATTCCATGGCAGAAAACTTGAACTGAGACCGCTCAAAAGTAGATTTGGACCTTGGGGCATGAATTCAAATATGAAATGAAGCAAAATCTCTCGAGTAAAACAATATACAAGCAAAAAATTACTATTCAAGTATAAATTAGACATGATCTAATGATAAATCTAATATACTATGAATAACATCTCATGATGGATTAATGGAAGCTAGGTTTTAAAAGGCGGAATCGGGCCTCGAGGAGTTTTCCCTCAACGAGGCGAGGCGTAAGCCCCAAGGGGAATATATATATACACCAATACATATACATACTATGCAAATATATATACACACATTTATATACAATATGTATATATATAATACACTTATAAGCAGAAAGGGATGTGAGATGGGTAGATCGTGCACAATGGGTTTAGTTGATTAGGTTCAAGGGAAAACGAAACCACAGAATATACATCCACAAAATATATACAAATAAAATTACATACACAATATATATATATATATATAATATATTGTTAGTATATATGATATACTAACAAATAAAAAATATAATATACTCGTTAGGTTTAGTGTAAATACTTCAATGCTCGAATGTAGCATGTTAAGAAAATATTAAGACTTATACATACAACACACATATATATGGAGTGAGGGAGATGGAGTGAGTCGTTTTGAAAGAGAGAACAAACAGCCGTTCTTTTTGACTTTTGGTTTTGTAGGCTCAGTGTGTGTGTTAACATAATGTATGTCAATATGTGTGTGTGATGCAGAAGTGAATGGCTCTGAGAGAGAGCAAGTGGCAGACTGGCAGCCATTCTTTATGTGTGTATACACATTAATATACATGTTATGTGTGATGCAAAAGTAAATGGCTTTGAGATAGAGCAAGTGGCAGCCGTCTTTTTTGACTTTTGAAAATTGACGGGGGTTGGCAATAGCAACCCCCTTTATTGAAAAAAGAAGGCCACCCACAATATATATCAGATGCTACGCCTCTCTATGCCTCACCCACCGCCCCATCAATCAAAGCGTACGATCAATCGAAGATGTGAGAGGTGGCGCCTCAAGCTCGTTTTTGGCCGCTTAGCCTCTAGGCGCGCGCGCCTCAACCGAGTTTTAAAACCATGGATGGAAGTTAACTTCTCACTGAAGAAATGTTTGACTATTAATATATATCATGACTACTAGGTGCATCTATGCTGTTACAACGGTAAAAAAAATGAAAATGTGGTCATGAATGATTAGATTCGCGTTGGTAAAGCGATCATATAGTGGTCGAAAAGATAGCGGTACATAGAAGTAAGAGGCTAAGAGTATTAACGTAAGAACTACTAATGTGACCCATGACAACAAGCGTAAAATCACCAATAAGCTTGCATGAGCCTCATTCAAAGAATTACCAATGTGAACAGAAGATGTAAGACAAGTGAACAGAAGAAAAGAAGACGAACAGAACCACAGAACTAGACAAGAAGTCAGGAACAGATGAGAAGGCGAGTGAAGAAAAGCAAATAACCAAAGAAATAACCTTAAGGACAGAAGAAAATGCTGAATTGCTGATTGTTGGTTGTGATAGGCAAGAAATGATGAAAGAGGTCAGAGAAGTGAAGCCAGATTAGAGGAGTCCAAGAAATTGGCCTTGTGATGCCCTAGCCCCCTAATCCATATTTTACCAAAAAGACTAAAAGCCAAAATTAAATAGCCCATCAGCTAATTGTGGTTTTCACACCGCTATCGCATCCTCAAATTCCACCCTAATTGCGGTCAACAAAACAACGCGGCTAATAGTGGATCCTCTATAAAGGACCGCTAAACTGCACGCTATTTTTCCATGTCCGCTAACTGCTAAACCACAGCCATAGCACTACAATTAACAGCATAGCTGCCAAAATCGTTGTCTTCTAGCCTACTCGCCTCAATGTCACCTCTACAATGTCTTATTATTTTCCTACCCTGTCTACTATCACTGAGAAAAAATCTATTTAACCCTTTAATTTGTATTTTTTTAGGATTTTGTTGCATTCTTCTCAAACCAAACTAAATTGGACACTGATACCAATAATACTGGATTGGTCGTGACCTTTCTTTTACCTGAAACCATCACACTAACTGTAGCTTGTATCCCAAAATCACAAATAGATCAAGCATTGGAGGATAGAAGTAACATGCCTTTCTTTGAGTTCTTCGCATTTTGCTAGTGACTGATGATCCTCAGAAAGCAAATGGCAAGACTTCTGTTCCTCATGTTTCCTCTTGGAGTCTGACTTATCAGGGAGGCTTTTAGCAACACCATTATGCGCATCCTGATAGCCAGGCACTTTACCTGTTGCTGTTCCATTTCTTGTAGCATCGGTCTTACACCCATTTGCAACAAATTCATCGCTGTTCCTCTGGATCTCAACATTTCCATTTGCAACAAGTTTATTTTGGCTAAAACCATTCTTGTCCTCTAACAATGGAATCTTCTTATCACTTGTCTTCTTCGAGTTCGGGGCTTTTGCATCACCATTATTTTCATTGTTTTCTTTATTATGAACAATGATTTTCATATTAACTGTTGCAGGGAACTTTTTGGTACCAGAATTTCCAGCGATGTCTGACTTCCTTTGTAGACCAGAAAGCACTTTGCCAACCTTGGATGACGTTCCAGAATCAACCTTCTGCGAATGATGATTAACACACTGTTGTGATTCTGTAGACTTTGTAATATGACCAGACTTGGGAAGTTTTGAGGAATCACTTCCATTGCAATCATATGCCTTTGTTCCATTGGTAGCTAAAGTTTTGTTAGGTAGAACAGGCCTCTGCTTGGTACGAGAGAAAAAAAGGATATAGACTTTCTCGGAGAAAACCTCCTGTAAGGTTGAAACTGAAACATAAGAATCGTTGCAGCAATACCAACGACCAATCGCATCCTGTTAACATGTTTGAAACCAGCATAAGCAAACAAGCAATGCCTCCACATGAATACTGACTGTTCAATATAACAAATTAACAAATTACAACACAGCTTAAAGAGACCTTGATGTAAGCATAATAGTGTCCTGAATCTGGTGAAAAGCCCGAATGCACAATGGTGGCAAAAAGTTTATATTCTGGATGAGGATCCTGCAGAATAATTAAACAATTGAATTGGGAAGATAGTCTCAAGAGGAGAATATTAAGAAACAAAAAAGACTCAGGGTGATTTCCAACAAAAAAGAAACCACGGAGACTCTGCTACATTCTCCCAATTTTTTTCCAACAGAAAAAAAAAAAAAAAAAATATATATATATATATATATATATTAAATAAGTGCACAAAAATGATCATGATATTGGAGTAACTACTTAAATCAACAACTCACAAGAAAGCCAAGCTAGAGAAAAAAATACAATTAAAGATGAAATTTACAGGCAGCCAATTGAACAGGCCAGAAAAGAACATGAAGAGCAAAAACATCTTGCACCTAGCATATCATCTCACATTAATTTTATCTTAACAAACTCTAATGAACAACCTCTACACCAAATGATTTCACATTCATCAGCATTGCCAACACAAGCAAGATCCCTTAAGAGTGTAAAAAAGATGATGTATTCACAAATGAAAATGAATGCCATAAAATGTGTTCAAAGTCCATGTATATACATACTTTCAGTTAAGGTTGGCAACTTGTAGAGTAGAGATAATTAGTGACATGTATGAGTTCAAATACTTATATTCCTGACATGGTAATAAAGACAGATTCTGTTAATGAACTATGCAAGTCTTAGCAAGTAGAAGTGCAAGACAAAGGGTGTTTACCTTGTTCCAGGACATGGAGAAGATCATATGATAAAATAACCCACAAGCATGTATGTACATCAGATCATAAAAGAACTTCCATAATGATCATATCACGAATGTGCTCCATTGTACATGAAACATTAAGTAAAAGGGCCTAGGTATTTCTCTTTGAACAGCTAAGAGCAAAAAGGGGGAACATAATTCCTTCTAGGTTTCGCTATCTAATCCCCAAATGATTGGGACATGTAGCATAGAGCAAAAGCTTAGGAGTGTCCTCGATTGAAAAAGAAAACTTATAATCATCTTAAGTAATCAAAAAGGGGTCTATTCTCGGCATTTCAAAAGGTACAACTCAATCAATACACATTGTTAACAGAGCCTCATAGCTTTTTCTCGTTTAATTTTAACTCATTAAAGAACAATTTTTAGAAGAAAGCCTTGGAGCACAAATAAAGTAACTCTTCGGACAGGAAGGTTATGTTTTAAAGTCAAGAATATTTACAAAAATTTAGCGTAAATATGCATCCCCCCCCAAAAGAAAGCAATAAGCTGAGTAGCCTTGAGTCTCTCCTGTATATAGTTTCTATTGTTGCTGCTCGGTCATATCTATGAGTGACATTACGTAAGCCTATGCTTACATGAAATCACGATGATAATATTATACAAGATAAATATATAATATCTTGCTTTTGCAAACAAAAATGAACCAGTGCATCTGATGCCAAGCATGCTCCAGCCACACCTTAGGTGATTTGCAGATGCAATAAAGAATACTATAGCCTGGTACATGTTGTGCATTATCTCTGCAAACTTCAGAAACTATGATCTCATATATCGTCCAAATACCAGTTTTTCATGAGCATAAGATAAGTTGCAATATGTCATAAACTTGATTTCATAGGCTATCTATTACTTTATGCACATATAACATTCCTTACATTTCATGTTTATTATTCATGCACATAAACTTGATTTCCTTGGCTATCCATTACTTTATGCACATATAGTATTCCTTACATTCCATGTTAAACACCTTGCTCAAAATGAACATGTTTCTCTTATGCTTCCTATGCTACACACGTTTAGCAACTGCTGTTAAGTGACAGAATGTCTTGGTATACTCATTTTCACCATCTACCACTCTTGGCAATATAGTCGTCAGAGAAGCTATTTTATTTTATTCAACAAATGAATTGATTAGATGACTGATTGAAATTATAGTTGAACTATTGATGGATGACAATGCTTATAGTAAATAAAAGTAGTTGTGGCAAGCTAGATTCAGCATGTCATGTGATTATGCTACCACCTATGTCCTATGTTACACATCATCTTACCCTGAGAAGAAATTTTGTCCCTTATGTTTCTCCTTTGCTTCTTATGCAACTTATGATACTTGTCCACTAGAATTCCATACAAGTGTTGTCCACCTACTCTCTTCTTCAGGGATGATGGATCAGTCTAATTGAAACTTACTCATGCCAAGTTGCCGACAAAAGGCATAGGCATAAAAAAATGGAGAAAAGAAAGATAATTGTCTAAACAATGTAAACCAATACGACAAACTTAAGGATAAGACTACCACTACGTACCTGGCTTGTTTTGCACATGAAGCTCGAAAGAACTAATACTTCATCAAAAGCAATTGCTTTGTCTATCTTCCCGCCAAATATTCCCTCAAACCTCTATTCAACCAAAAGAATAGCTTAATTAGCCACCACTTATCTTGATGCTAAAAGGAAATTAAAAAACAATGGCAACTAATCAAACCCACCTTGAGTTGAATTACAAGAATGTTAGGTGCTTGAAGAATAGACATTTGCTTTCTTGCTGCTACCAATTTCTTACAACTACAAAAGCAAAAGTTTCTATCTTAACCATCTGAATCAACAAGCATGATATAAAAACATACATATGTGGGTAATATGGCAAAGATGGTATGCTTACTTATCACACTTGTATTTGTTATTCCCATCCAGAATCTCTGGTTGAAAAAAATTCTGAAAAGCTTCCTTTAGAGAACTACTATGTAATACATCAACGCTAATATCCATTATCTCATCAACCTTATTGGACTCATTGCCACAAGCAAGGCACTTCACCTGGCTCTGCAGAGCTCCTCCAAATATCTCCTTAACTACTGTACTGCCACCAAAGCTATCACCTCCTCCATTACTGACAAACTTGCGTCGTTGCTGCTGCAACTTTTTCAGGCGAAGACATGTGGTATGGCATGCATCAATGACGTACCGCAGGAACTCATGTGCATCCTCTTGCCTTCCTAGACGAAAATGCTCTGCAAAAATTTTCAAGCCGCCTATGATCTTGCCAGGCGTTTCTAGGGTTAAGTCAATGCTCAAAGATCGTACAATTCTCTTCTCTAGTAAACAAAACGGACAATCACTCTTCCTGTCCTGCTGCACCAGGGACTCACCTACAAACATGTAGCAATAACATAAACAAAATTGAACTCGTTCATGCATAGAAGCAGAAACAGATTTATATGCTCAGAAGAAGGGGAAGTTATCTTTTCATACAAAAAATTACTACTCGAATTAGGAAATTCTATGCTAACAGTGCCAAATTTACACTCGAATTCGAACAATTCAATGTTGCGTTAAACATTAGGTTAAATTCATAATCACTTGGATACGTGGGCGGGGCGGACGTACGAGAAAGATGAGAGCAAGTAGAACAAGAGGAGTACATACAGAAGGCAGAGTGCTGGTGTTGGAGGCAGAAATTGGCGAGGGGAGGAGTGTAGGTCAAGCACTGGAGGACGGCGTTGAGGTAGCAGGTATTACCAAGATTCTTGAACCCTAATGGAGGACCGTTCTTGCGTTTCTTCAATAACAAATTGGTCTGCCAAGTCATTTGCAATTGCAAACCAGCCATTAACAGCGAGGCCCTCTCGCTCCTGATTCAACCGCCGCATTGAATGACAATCCCCACCGCCACCTCGCCGCGGAGGATCGCATCCCTCAAAACTTCCTTCACTTTCTCCTTCTCTATCTCTGTATCTCTCTGATGAATGATACGGTGGTCTTCGTAGTGTTGGTCGCCGGCGGTGAGGATTGTATGTATATGGATTGCTAGTGACGAATCGAGTGCTGGTGTGTGTGTTGAAGGAAGAAGCAGAGTCCGTTGGGCATGCCTGGATGCCTCCCCCCCTTTTTCCCCTGCTCACAGGCGCCTCCCCTGTTTAATAGTTTGTTAACTTAAGGAACCAGACTTTCCTATATTTCCAAAACAAACCCTCCTACTTTTTACTTTTTCTCTTTTTGCTTTTAAATATCAAAGTATAAAACAACAATGCATCTTTGTTATCAAACCAACCACAAGAGTGGTGTCTGATTAGTTTGAGCTTGGACTTCAAAAGTCAAAAGTGCATGGAGGTCTCAGGTTCAAATACAATGAGGAATAAAAGTCTCATTATGGCCACGGAGGTTCAAATGCAGTGACTCCAGGCTACCTGCAAAGCAGGTGGTCGCCCTGGATTAATCGGCTCGCATAGCGGGTTAGATATTCAAGTTAATTAAAAAATCCATCTTCGTTTCAAAGTATTAAAAGGAGATCCATTGTATTTGGATATGATAATCTTCAAAATGATCATTCTTATGGAGCCAACGGGTTCTGAATGACCCCCCCTCTCACAGTTAACCATCTCAAAGAAATCCATATCATCCATTATTTATAAAAAGCTTAAATAGTCTTTGTTGGTAGCTATAATTACATACAAGCGAACTTTTTAAAAAGTTGCTTCAAATCGTGTTTTAAAACCTCATATATTTTTCCAATCAACTTTTTTACTTGTCATTTTACATTGTCATCTAACTTATCGGCTAGTTTACCAAGCATAGCAGTATCCTAAGTTATAGGCGTAATGTCTTTTTTTGTTAACTGGGAGTATCTAGGACAACTTGCATGCACCTCAACTAATCCAAGGACCCTAATAACAACCAAAAAAATCCACAGTGGACTACTTAAAGCGATGACTTTTAAAGAGATTCCCAAAAGACCAAGTATTGTTGTCGGTTGTTAACGATAGCCACAATGTTGTGGAAAAAGGGTTTGGATTACCCTCCAAAACATCCCATCATATGACAATATATATTGAAAAGTAAAGAGCCAAAACACAAGATTCAAATAGCATGCAAAAACAGTAGTAGCAGTTAACTCCCATTTTTCTATTATATCAAAAAGCTTCTGAATTCAAAAATGTCAAATTTTACAACATGTAATGCGTGGCATACTGATTTACATACCACCTGCTCCTAATATGATCATACCAGGAAAACAACTCATGCTTGCTATATTACACACAGTTCTCATTCTATGTAAATCTTCAATGTTTGGAAGAAAAAATTCTACTGGCTAGAAGCAGCTTTTGGTATAGAAGACGACTTGGAATCATCCGAGATGCTGCTGACTCGAGTTGCTTCCTTTTTCAATTTGAAGTTATTGTATGCTGCTACACCGCCAATCGCTGCATAAAAATCAAATTAATGTTTTCATTTCATGAATTACTTAAAACCTGTACCTTTACGATGTATATATAACGATAATGATGTTAATGGAAGTATAATATACCAGAAAAAAGAATCCATTTTTTCTAATTGAAGTAATCCCAACATATGTGATATCCTACGGCCCCGGGGCCTACCAACTTAGCTTAAGACTGCGGGACTTGGGGCATGTTTGTTACTCCCAGCTTATTCGGTCAGCTATACATGACTGTTTGACAGTGGTTTAATGATATAGAAAGTGGTTTATTCAGTAAGCTTCTTTTGGGTGTGTGGGGGGGGGGGGTACCAACTCAGCTTAAGACTGAGGGACTTACTGGGTTCGTTTGGTTTTACTGTGCAAGAAGGTTGGCATGCCATACCAACTCCGCTTAAAACTAGAACAAGAAAACATCTAAATACTTGTTGATACATATATATATATATACACACACACACACACACATATATATATATAAAGGAAGGTTCAAACGAGAACGCTAACTATTTAAGAAAACAAGAAAAAGATCGTTAATGTACAAAATCACATACGATTTTACATTAACGTCGAAAAAATGGAAGCGTACGACTTTTGAACCTTTATGATTTTGTATGTGATTATGTGAATATGTGAATCATGCATGATTTATATATATATATATGAATCATGTATGCTTTTGTACGTGAATATATATACATACGTGAATCATGTATGATTTAGTACATCAAGGACCTTTTTCTTTTTTTTTAAATAGTTACCGTTCTCATTTGAACCTGACCCTATATATATATATATATATATATATATATATATATATATATATATATATATATATATATATATATAGCCAAGCAACACTGCATGATTCATATTTTTATTTTAAATTCATGATTCCAAATATTTGTTCTTTCCTAACCATGTAGGTTGCTAAGGGTGTGTTGGGTACGTGGGAAACTGCACAAGACATGATAGTACAAAACCTTGTTGTTGGACGTTTGGCACAACATTATACTGGGACAGGACAAGACTTGAGTGGAACAGTGCATTTTTTCTGTCCGAACAAAATAAGTGGAACAAAAAATAAGGAAGATTGGAGAAGATTGGACAATTACTAAACTATCCATATCAAATTAGAACTCCAAAGACCTTCCACAATTCTTTTACCCACCTACCTAACTTTCGCTGCTCCATTCCTGTCCCATCCGCCTACCAAATGCACCCTAAGGTATTTGCAGAACAAACACGAAAACAGAAAAGAAACAAACAAACAAACAATAAAAGAAGCATCAACTTATTACCTATTGCATAACCAAAGATATTAATCATGGTGAGCTTCGTATCAGCAAAGAGAAGGGCCGACAATAATACCACCACCCAGTCCTTAACAACTCCAGCTACACGAATCGTCAGAGCACTTGTATGTTGAATCACAAGGAAAACCGAAAGATTGAGAGCAAAAGTACAAAGGGAGTTGAGTGTTAGCACGAGCGGCTGAAAGTTCCACGTGCCCTGTGCATCCATCTTTGGCTTCTCCAAGAAGATCCATGGAACTAAAAGGCAAAGAGCGCTGCACAGCGAATCAAGATTTTCTGTTCACATGGACATAAATACGTAAAAACAGAATGGTGGCAAGACAGAGAAAATAATACTGTCTAGCTCAAGAGGTATAAGAACATGCCTGCAAGGGCTCACATAATACATCATGGATATGGGGTTCAACTTCAGACCCTTCCTTTTAACCAAGATTTCCATAAATATAAGTCTCAAAGCTTCTCCAACAACACCTCCCATTTGGTAAACCACACCAACCCAGTTAATGTTGATTTCCCCATAAGAAGCCACTAGTACTCCAAAACTTATCACACACATTATCAGAAGCATCCTACTGCTCATGACTTCAAGTCCAGCTGCTACACCAAGAATGAAAACAGCTACTGGCACTGCACATAGATCAAAAATAGGTTTAAATTGATTCGTAATGTGAAGAAAGTGTGTATATTTCATTAGCTCTTGACCAATCTGGTCTCTTGGTTTAAAAGATCCCTCCGAAAATATATATATGTTTTAAATTTCTGGCTACAATTGTTTGGTTAATGGAAGGAAGATTCTTTCTTTCATACTTCATTAAGTTACTTGCAAATAGGACAGAGATTAATCCAAATATTCAGTATACTTACTGACTGCTTTCAACATCTGAGCAAATGCAACAGATATATAGAGGTATGCAGTGTTTCCAAGCCAAAGAGTCATTGCAAACATTGCACCAATTGGAATGACTGATGTAGTGTATCTGTATGTTAAGTAATGATGATTAGCCACACACAAAAAGTGAAAAATAAAAAAAAGAAACATATTTTTATTTTCTCTTTGTAACAAAGAACTGTTACAAAGGGCCAAGAATATGTTATCAATTGAGTAGCCAACATTTTATGTTATTATAGTTATTTCTTAGACAAAATCCATACTTGCTACAAGATTGACCAACATATTAGGAATGGATACCATTTGACTTCATATATCAAATAAAACAAAAACATATTTAACTCTCACATTTCAAGAGTCATTCCTTCCTCAACTTTTAAAATCTGCGAGTAAATGTAAATATTAGTTACAGATTGCAGAAGTGATAATTCTAGACATGATACAAATATTTTATACCTTGAGAACTTTGGTGAGTACAAAACAGAGCACAGAGGAAAACACCATATGAAGAAGCGTCAACCCAAGTGGATATGGAAAGTTTATCTCCTTTGATGACAAAACCCACTGCATCACCATTGTAGAATAAACCAGACAAAATTAATTCAGTGAATGTTTACTTCAAGAAGTTAGAAAATGAAACTTTGCAAAGATAAGTTACACGACTCCCTCTTCGTTAGAGAGAATAATCAATTAAAATATATATATAAAAAGAACTGGTCACAAGCCATCCAAATATACAAAGATCAAGGCATTTCTCATAAATTTCAAACATGAGATTAATCAAATAAGAAAGGCAGAGGTTGGAGGTTATGCAAGAGATTGATCAAATAAGCATCAAGAACCAATACCCTATATCCGTCACTCACAAATAGGCAAATGAGTGGAGAATAGGCCACCGCTCATTGGGCACTATAAGTTTAAGGTAATGCCTTTGGGTCACAAATGCACCCACAGCACTTCAGGCCTTCATGAATTTCATATTTGAACTTATCTCCAAAGATCTGTGTTATTCGTCTTTGATAGTATCTTAACTTACAGTGTTAATACGAAGAAGCACTTGGAACACTTGGGGCTGGTACCTGGTACTGAAAATATTGGTGAAACATCTATTCATTAAGCATTCCAAGTGTGCTTTTGGTAAAACCCAGGTTGAATAAATACCATGGGCATGTCAATTGATATCGGCAGGTCGTGTAATGGTGGATCCTAGCAAAATCAAAGGCATATTGATTATTGATGTGGCCACTGCCAAAAACTATCAAGACGTTACAGGAATTTTTGGGTTTGACAGGCTACAACAGAAAGTTAATGGATGGATATGAAAACATCGTCTTTACTGAAGAAAGGATAGTTTAAATGGATCAAGAGGTAGATCAGGCTTTCCAGAGACTCAAGCAAGCCATAAGGCTCATGACAACTACCACCATTCTTAAATTCTCTAATTTCCATGTAAAATTTATCATCTAACAAATGGCTTGTGACTTGGGTTGGGAATTGAGGTTGTACTCTTATGACTTGCAAGGAAACAGACTTGTGTATTTCCATAAAGCTCTGGGAATAAAAAAACAGAGGGCTTTCAACTTACGAAAAGGAGATGCTTGCTACTGTTTCAGTGGTACAAAAATAAAGATGCTATCTCCATCATGGCCATTTTAAGATAAGAACTGATCACCATCCACCCAAGTACTATATGACCTAGCAAATGACAAATATGAACCAACAACTGTGGCTGGTAAGGTACTCGATTTAGATTACGAAATCAAATATAAGGAAGAAAAAGAAAATCAGATATAAGCGGCCATTGGGCTTCTTATTTTCCTCCTTTCTCTTCTTTTTCTTCTCAAGGGTCAAAGCTCCTCAACTTGAACGAGAAGGGCATAGATTAATGATTTTACCAATCAAGGGTGGGAATTCATTCCTTCTTAGAAGAGTTTTAGCACACTGGCCTCAACTCCTCCCCAGTCTCGCACAAAGACAAAGAAGGATGGTAGTTTCAGCATTAAGCTTGCTTGGCATGAAAGTTCAAATAGAAGATTTTAACACTAAACAAGGTAGAAAGCAAGCCAAGCAAAGAGGTTTGGCTTCGCCTCTAAAAAGTCATTCGACTAAACTAAGGCGACCAACCGCGAGAAGGAATGAGTGAGGCCTATTTAAATATTATACATGATTTAGCAGGTCCCACCCTGCCTTACACATCAGAAGCGTATTCAGTTATTCACTCTAGATGGGCCAAGATGTATCCCTGGAAACCATCCAAGTAGAACTTCTAAGAACTTGGAGATCGAACTATGCATCGAGTGAATTAGGAGGACATCACCCATGGTCGGGCAGACAGAGAAGGTTAATTAATGCTTAGAAACATATTTACGTTGTTCCATTGGGGAGAAAACCCAAGTTTTGAGTCAAAATGATTGTTGCTGACTGAGTTGTGATATAACTCTCCATTCCAAAAGGCCATGGGGATGACTCCATTTCAGGTGGTGTATAGGTTAGCTCCACCCCTATTGCCAACTCCTCATGTGGGAGGAACAAAAATTGCAGCTACTGATGACCATCTCCGCCAACATGACAGTTAGGTTCAAATCTTTAAGGATGATATCTCTCAAGCAAAAAAAGGATGAAACAATGTGAGGATATGCACAGATGGTAGTGACAATTCACACTCCATGGATGAACTGGTCAGAAGTTTTCACCCCGCTACTATGGCCCAGATGTTGTGCAAAGGATAGGTTTGGTTGCTTATAAAATACCTAACCCATACGGAAGGGCACAGTAACCCATCAGAAGATTGCCTAGACCCAGGTAGTAAAAACAAAAGAATTATGTGGTGCACCAAGCCTTGGTGAAGTGGTCCAATTTGCCAATTGCCAACACCACATGGAAAGATTGTCTATGTCTACCATCGGTCATGTTTCCCAAATTTTAATCCTCAGGGATAGGGATCCGGTGGAGAAGGGAATGTTGCCAATAGCCATGGAATGAAGCAAGCTAAGTTTTAAAATTAAGTTTGGAGGGAAGCCTCTGAATTAAAATAATGGGAGACCAAGATTAGTAATGAACGAATTATGTATCTTTCCTTTTTATTTTTAGTTTCAATTGGTGAGGGAATCCACATGGAATAATCAGAGGTGAAGAGATATTAATTGCCACTTGATTGAGAGGTATTAATTACCTCCATGCTCTTTTCTCTTTTTTTTCATCTCCTTCACAGGATCATACTGAAATTTTGTTCGGGACATTTTGTTGCTATTTGGGTGACTCCAACTTGCAACCACATCCTCTTCAGCAATTGCAATTTTGCTACCTCATAACTTATAGCGGGTTTTACCACGTATAATAGAACTTACATTTCTGTTTCAAGAACTTTTTGATCATGAAAGAAGTTTGAACACCATTTCATCCACATCATTGTTATCCTACAACTAATATCCTATCAATCTTCCCACTTTCTGTAAAACTATCCCAAATAACAAAAGTATCGTCCCTTACCACTTTCACATCCCTACCATTTAGAAATGTCACCAAAGTTGCATTTCATATGCCTTTTTTATTTCGGATTAATCTAAAACTATAGATTTCAAGGTGTTTCATGAAGCTTCAAAGTTTGGACTCGTAAATCAACATTATATGCCCAAAGGAAAGCATCCACTATGCTTTATCACCTCCTATGTCTTTCCATGAGTCATCTTATGTATTTATGCATAATGTGTTCCATGTCAAGATAAGGATGAGGACCCGCATCAAAACTTCCAACCTGATGCATTGTATCTAGCTATTCTTGTGAAAAAGAAACCAAAATGTTGCAAACAGCACCTAAAATATAAGGTCCCTATATAATATGCAACACCCGTTTCAAACAAAATGGGTCTGAAGTTCTATCAGCTTGAATTCGAACTTGGTTAAGTTGACTTAAATCTTAACCAAGAACCAATTAAAACGATCATACATTTTGCTCTAGAAATTCTTGTTCTAGGTATGCAATCCAAACAACCAATAGTTTTGTAACTTTCATATCATATTCTTAACACATCAAGATTTCTTGATGAAATCATAACCATTCAGACGAGAAATTTTTAACAGATCTCATTATATACAATGAAAGAAACAAATGGTTATTGTTAAAAAAAGGACCTTATTGAAGAAGATCTGGCCACTGGAGAGGGCTATGTAAAGAAGGATGTAACAATAGGTCACCATTCCTTCCCTGGCTGAAGAATTGCTAGTCTGATCCGCCATTTCCGAAGGCGACCCCTTTTATCTTCTTCTTCTTCTAGCGGAGGTTTCGTTTCCAAATGGGTAACACTAATACCATGTAGTGATGCTAAATCCAAGAGTTACGGGAGGGTAGCTTGCTTTAAACAAGTCGGTGGGAATTGGGATCTTGTTTTTCTTTAAGTGTAAACCAGTGTTTGACACCATGCGTTGCAAGGTGACAATAATCTTTTTTAAAATTACTGAAGTTAGCTAAATGAATCGATGATTATATTTATATATCAAATTAATAAGAATCAATATTACCTTTGATACATGAATCCACCTTATCATTATTGGTTGTTCTTTTAATATATATATATATAGAGAAGCGATCAAATGAAAACCACTCTAATTTATAAAAACCGTAAAAACTACTCTCATTCATCGATTTTATTGTTTAATCTTATGAAATTTTTTCATGAAATTGTTTCATATAATACTTKTTTTTTATGAAGTTGTTTCATATATGGTTATGAAATTGTTTTATATATTACTTAAT